TCACATTTATATACAACTTATAAAGCAATATAAGCCCTTTAATGCTTATTTGTTAAGATATTGACAAAAATCGGTCATTTTGGCTACAATACACGCGTGAGGAAAAATACCAAATTGGGCAACAACTTTGGTCTTTTTTTGACCAGTTTTGTGCTCAAGTTATTAAAATGTGCTTTGATGTTGTAGATCGGGTGTTTTCTTCCAATATGGGTTTCGGTATAAATCCGGAAGCACCCGGTTCATGGGTGATAGGGGTTAAAAACCCTAAAATGTCAGGCAATGGGCGAGACAATTGTCTGAATTTGGTTATAAAAACACTTGCACTCTTTGCTAGGGTTTGCTTTTTTCTGCTACATCGATCCGATTTCTAACTACTAATCATCCCCCTCTACATCATTCCCTTTTAGATACATGATTTCTATAAGTTCTTGAAGGTACATCCGGCGACCGGCATAATGTAAAGTCTATATCAAAGCATTTTAATGTGGTCTTAACAAGTTGCAAGATATTCAAGTTCACTAATAAAACAGAGATTGTAGGATATTCTTCTTTTACATATTGAGTAATTTTGGCTACACATGTGAGGAAAGATACCAAATTGGTTTACCAAACGAAGATTGTAGGTTATCTATTATTCTTTACATGATTATTGACGCAACTTCATAGTCAAACCTGTATTATTTTAAATATTTAATATTTATCCACACTCTCCATAAGAATATTATTGGGAGTCATTTTGTGGTTAAAATTCGATTAAATCAGTATTTCCAAGCAAAAAACTGCCCCAAATTTCTCCTCCGAATATGGTCCGCTAGTTCGAAATTTTAGCACTTATAAACGTTATTGTTAGACATTACATTAGTGTAATACCACTGAGACCAGATGTATAGTAATCTATTCAGATAAAGCGAAGGATGTGCATCTGAATGAAGAGAACTTTGCTGATCAAGAGAAAAGAATATGAAGAGATATCAGCAGCTGACAGAAGAGATTGCAAGCTCCAGACAGTAGCAGTTCGAGTTCGAGTTCGAGGCATTTACAACTGCAGCCTCCAAACCTTTATGAACCACCTGAACGTAAACACTAAAGAGAAAAAGGCCTGCATGAAGATCGCTGAAATTAGCATGAGGGCATCATACACCATCTATCTGTCCAGAAACACCATTATATGGACAGATGATTGGGAGTTAGTCCAGAGGCTAGTAATTGCATAGTAGGAGCGTATAGTGTTTGTAGAATGTAATTATTTTTACAAACTACCGTTCAAAACTTATAGATCAAGTGTTTGCCTACCCACAATTATATTACAACGTCGTGGGGTCAGTCGATATTGTTGCTAAAAATCAGGAGCAAGCGTCTTAAAACAGGATACCATGAATCTGTATAAGTTTCAAGTAGTTTCATTCTACGTTTAATATTATTATTGGGTCGTTTACGTTAAAGTTATATTTGGCCATTTTATAGCCTCCCCTCAAAAAGCCCACAATTACTCAATATGTAAAAGAATAATATCCTACAATCTCTGTTTTATTAGTGAACTTGAATATCTTGCAACTTGTTAAGACCACATTAAAATGCTTTGATATAGACTTTACATCATGCCGGATGTACCTTCAAGAACTTATAGAAATCATGTATCTAAAAGAGAATGATGTAGAGGGGGATGATTAGTAGTTAGAAATCGGATCGATGTAGCAGAAAAAAAGCAAACCCTAGCAAAGAGTGCAAGTGTTTTTATAACCAAATTCAGACAATTGTCTCGCCCATCGCCTGACATTTTAGGATTTTTAACCCCTATCACCCATGAACCGGGTGCTTCCGGATTTATACCGAAACCCATATTGGAAGAAAACACCCGATCTACAACATCAAAGCACATTTTAATAACTTGAGCACAAAACTGGTCAAAAAAAGACCAAAGTTGTTGCCCAATTTGGTATTTTTCCTCACGCGTGTATTGTAGCAAAAATGACCGATTTTTGTCAATATCTTAACAAATAAGCATTAAAGGGCTTATATTGCTTTATAAGTTGTATATAAATATGTCCATTGCGGTAATTTTAAGCTAAAATTGAAGTCTCTATGACCTTCAGGAGCTGAAATACAAAAATCTCGTATACGAGTATACGCGACTGAGGGTAATTTAGAAAATTTGCCCTGTAGGGTTATGTCTAGCGACACAAATTGCGTACCTAAACGATTTTGGTTAAGAATGATCTAACAAACAACCCTGTGTTGTCAGAAATCGTATACATCGAAGCGCACACTCAACTATTCCCTGCTACTAGAGTAATACTAGAGTTCAGAAAAAGAGTAAAACACTTATTAAAAAATCACCAACAATTTTCAAAATTTTTTGGAAATTTTTGGGCGGTCATGAGCGTGAATCATATTCATTATGTCCGTGAAAAATTTGGTCCGTGAAAAACTTGTCCGTGACAATTATAGTAATAAGGTAAGTGTATACATACTCACCCTGTATTATATACAGGGTTACCGTTAACCGTTAACCGTTAACCGTTAACCGTTAACCGTTAACCGTTAACCGTTAACCGTTAACCGTTAACCGTTAACCGTTAACCGCTAACCGTTAACCGTTAACCGTTAACCGCTAACCGTTAACCGTTAACCGTTAACCGTTAACCGTTAACCGTTAAACGCGGTATTTGATGTGGTATTTGATGTCATTTTGTTGTGGCTGTAATAACATGTTGTTAAACTATATACAGCTGTGATGTAAGACTTATGTTTAATCTTCAAATGCAAAGAATTCCACATCTTACTTAGAGAAGTCATATTATTTGAAGATTAAATTTGATTAATCGAGATATTATGTAAACTTGTTAAGATATGTTAAACCTACAGCAATTGTAGTAAAACAATAATACGTAAATTATCTGCAGTTAAATGGGCAAGTTTCTGAATAATCAAGTTACTGAGTCAAAATTCAAACGTCAACCCCTTTGACAGTTCATAATGATAATGATATCTGCACTATTGCGTCATGATAATATACAATATTACCTTATATGGGCATGGGCATCACGTGATAATCTCTTAAATAATCACCATTTAGAGCAACGTTGTAAATTGTGTCTGTTTGATGCAATCGATTTGTAAAATTACGTTAAACGCTAAATTGTAAACTTTTTGATTATTTCACCAGACTATATGATCAGAGGATCAAGCGTTTTAGTCACCCTTAAATGTGCGTCAACCGTGTGCGCGCAACCGTACGTCAAGTGACCACCTACAGATTACTGAGTTGCTCTTTCTCAATGCTACTGCTAGAGATGCAGATCTCCAAAATTTTTTAAACGTCTTGAAGTTGAACCGTTAACCGAGATCTTTTACTTTTTAAGTAAGCATTTAGATAATTACCCCCCCCCCCCCCCCCCCCCCCCAACTGAACAAAACACAAAATCTAACAAAATTGAAAAATCGGTGTTGTTTCACTCAAATTTTAATAAAAAATAACGTGATGCCTGCACTGTTTCATGTTTTTCCAATAATAAGACTATGATCACTACTCACTTGATATAATTGGAGATTATTGCAGCTTCACTTGAGTACCTGTTTAGTGTTTAATATAAAAAGCTAAAAAAAATGCAGTTCAATCGTTTAACCAAAAAAACTTCAACAACAGTGTGATGAATCTAAAATGTCAAAGTTCAGGCACTTTAATACTGACTCTATATTATGATCCTATACATCAAGTTCAACTCATTGACCGTTTTTTGTTCTACATATCGAATGTATAATTGATAACGCGTCCGTAATAATAATAATACAGTATAAACTAATTACAACACTACAAATCTATTACTATACATTTATTGAGTATTATGTAACGCGTAAACGCGATGGAAAAATTTTAAGCGGGTCCAAACCCAGGATACATTTAACATGCAGACTTTGTTGTAACTTATATGAAAAGCATTATAAATTATATTTAACATTATTATTATCTGTTTTATTTTACCTCGACTCGGAATACGGAAATTAGTGAGAGCTAGCAGATTAATTAATTGGTTAATTAATTAATTATATAAGTTAAAACATTTAAATTAATCAATATTGCTTTCAATTATCCTACTAGAGATCCCAGCTTATACAATACACGTAGTTTAATTTGTACTACTACTAAGTTATATGGTGCAACGAGGAGGACGTAAAAAAGTCAAAGTTGCAACGAGTAGGAAGTTGCTGATGAAGTTTAAGAAAGAAACATTGCTCAAAAGTTAATTAAATGCCTAAAACAATAATGATAAACCACAAAGCAATAAGAGCTGCACTACGGAGTATACCTTTAATAACTCAACACTTCACTTACGAATACCCACAACGTCTTGAATAGCCGAGTATTGGAATCGTAATACAAAAACAATGGTAACAATCACATGGCACTGGCAAGAAGTGACGACAGAGTTTTTAAAAGTAATCATTTACAAAGTTCCTTTGCGGTCCACAATCTACTAATATTGGAAAGAATAAACTGGTAAAAGGCTCTCCAGCAAGTATAGATATGACCACACTGTCTATAACTGGTAAAAAGGCTCTCCAGCAAGTATAGATATGACCACACTGTCTATAACAACATGAAAGAGACAACAGTGTGTCTAGCTTCACTCTCTTATATTACTAATTCCCTGCCACTGCTTCATGTGGTGTTATCACGTGACATTGAGGTGTTATCACGTGACATTGAGGTGTTATCACGTGACATTGAGGTGGTATCACGTAATTCAGTGCTTAACCATTGAAATTTGAAAATTCTAGTCCGGTTCGACGTATAAATTATGTCCAAGAATATAAGGTAATTATACAATATACATTGTAGATTTTACATTCCCCACCTCCTATAATCTAAATCGAAACTTCTAAGCATCTAGAAGATGCTAGGTCAGCTTGTCCTGGCGTATAAACTATAATCTACCTGTATCTCTATAATCAATTCTAATGTGAAATATGGTTTGTATTAAGCAAAAAAACACATAATAGAAAGTCCAAATATTGTAAAAGTGTGTGATAATCATGTATTTAACTCAGAATTACAGGCAATGTTTTTATACAGTTATCACTCATATTTAAAAGAAGCACAGTACAGTAAGCTAAAAGATCTTCAATCCTAAATTTCCATTAATCCTATAAACAGTTCGTTTTATATCCTAACTTTTCACACATCACTCCTCTTTTGATATTTCACCAGCATCCCCTCGTCCCCAAGCACGTGATCTACGTGAACTACAACACGTGATATACAACACGTGATCTACGTGATCTACGTGATCTACAATACACGTGATCTACAACACGTGCTCCTCAATCTCCAGCTCCAAAACACGTGCTAAGATGTTAATCTACACTCCTTGTGAATACCATGTGTTGCCTCAACCCGTCTGCGTATTCTGTTTCGTACTTTATACTTACTCCCACCCAATACGCTGCATTCTGAAGAACGTGTTTAAAATGTGTTAAAAATTTGTTAAAAATTTGTGAAAAATGTGTTAAAAATTTGTTAAATATGTGTTAAATATGTTGAAAGGTGTCGAAATGTGCTGAAATGTGTTGAAATGTGTTAAAATGTGTTAAAAGGTGTTGAAATGTGTTGAAATGTGATTAATTTTATTTTAGCACAGTCTCATTAATAGCATAAAATAAAACAAACCTTATCTTTATGCTTTCTAAGAAAAGCTATAGCAAGATCGTGGAGAAGTCTGTTGAAGTCAGATTTGTTTTTTGTACCTTTCTGATTACCATCCAGCTTCATGATACTTCTCAGATGATATTCTGTCTGCGTAAGTGTAATGACGTTTTAAAATTAATAATTTTCATAATTATTGTAATTAGTTTAAGCAATTTAAAACATCATAGTTTTGTGATAACGTTCTAACTGTGGTGAGTTTTACAGTCTTTATAAGTTAAGTATTATAATTACTATTATCATAATTATTATAATTAGTTTTAAAACTTTAAAACATCATAGTTTTGTGATAACGTTTTAAGTGTGATGATGACGTTTTCTTTAGTTAAGTTAGTGGCAGCTTTAAACATTATAGTTTTGCAACATTATTGCTAGTCATGATCTAAATTAAAATTACCTTACCAGACATATTTAAATGGTACGAAAGTCGATGGTTTTTCGATAAAAAAGCACCATATTTTCGGACTACCAAAAATTAGGTCACCGTCATTATTGTCCTGTTGCTTGTATGATGCCGACGCTCCATAAAATTTGTCCACTATGTCGGTCACACTAAGGGGTAAAAGGAGTCAACTATCTTCCTCGTTGGAAAGACCACTTCGGGCACTGACCAATAAAGTGGTTCATTGTCTCTTCCATGAGACAGTGTGGACAAGTTTTATGGATAGTTGTCGGCTTGAGCTTGTTAAGATGGTAGTTTAATTCACAGTGTCCAGTGAGAAATTGTGTCACTGTTCTTGTGCTCTCTTTACCAAGTTTTGAGATTGATCTGTTGGGCAACGTTATCAATTTTTTCCTCATTTTCCGATGACTTATACTCCGCAGTGCTCCTTTCCATAATGTTTTTGAGATTGGAAGTAGCACTTGGGCGGAGTCCAAGTTATCAGAGCCTTTTTTGGCAAGATAGATGGTGTTATCACGTGACATGATAGTGTTATCACATGACATTATAGATTGGAAGTAGCAGTAGTGTTATCACGTGACATTTGCATATTTACCAGAGTAAGTTCCCCCGTATCAAGGAACGCGTGAGCTAGTCTGATATGAGCTTTGTTCTGGATAGCAGAGTTCTCCGACCGAGTGGCTAACTCAAAGTTAGTTACAGCTTTCATTCTCTCTCCGGAGAGCCACAGTGTTTCTGCTAAGTCAAATACTGCTTCTCTGTTTGCTCCACGGCTTAGTTTTACTGTGGGTGGAAAAATGTGTTAAAATGTGTTAAATATGTGATAAATATGTGTTAGATATGTGATTAAGATGTGTTTAAGTCAAATACTGCTTCTCTGTTTGCTCCACGGCTTAGTGTTACTGTGGGTGGAAATTCTGTTGAGGGAAAAAACATAGAAAAGTAGAACTTTATAAAATGATAAAACACTAATTTAATATCAATGTATCAAGAAAAAACACACTCTAGAAGTATTATAGAGTCTATATTAAGAGAAACTTTGAGGATTATCTGTATTTATATAACTGTATAATATACATAATTTTAATAATATAACTGTATAATTTATATAATTATGCCTGCTGTAGAGAGGATATCAATAACTTGCTCTAATGTAACCAGTCGAGGTGGTTCCTTTGGTCTCTCACTCGCTGCTTGTTCCTGTAACTCCAACTATTGGATTTGTGGTTTGAGAAATGGCTGGTGAACAATATCTCCTTATATGGGCATCACGTGACGTAATGTCTCCTTATATGGTAAAACAAGTTTTTTCTGACACGTGACAGCGGTTGACCAACCAGGCTTCAGTGTATTGAACAAGTCACCCTCAGAATTACTGTCACGTTTCAAAACAAATTGTATTATCCCAATTTCCTCACGTTTAGGATCGGATGAAAATATAAATCTTAAATCGTGTCTTACAAGGCTAGTTCTTTGAATTATGCTTTGGAAGCGTTCTCTTTTGAAGGTGAAAGTGGTTTCGGTTATATACATTTTTATTTGTTTGTATGCGTGTTTGTTAGTTTGTTTGTATGCGTGTTTGTTAGTTCGTTAATTTGGTTGTATGTTTAAGAGTCTTACCTCGGTAAGAGTATTTTGTTGGTCCAATTCTACCGCTTCCTTTGGGGGTTTTGTGGTCTTTTTAGCGCCCCGCCCCTTTTCTTTAATATCTGGCTTTTTTGCTTCCTCTTGAATGATGGTGCTTTGTGTCTTGGCGAATAATCCTGAAATAAATCTAGGAAATAAATTTAATCCACTGTTTTCTGACACTCACAGCATAACATTTATTTATTTTTAATAGTAATAACTTAATACTTAATGTAATTAGTTAGATAATTAATTAACTCCCAACTTGACAGTAATATATTACACTTATATATAAGTGTAATGTCCGGATAATACTAGTGAAACAACAATTACGCTCCCACTAAATCGCTCGCCCAAATTTTAGGAAATTTCTTGTGAAAAGGCCCTGAGGGCATCGTGATAGTCATCTAATTCGGTGTATACCGAATCACCCCCCATGCAGACGTAAGGTAAAAATGCTTCCCTGAAGAGTTAAGGGCAAAAAACCGTTTTCTTCACGTGACAGGCTAATAAAACATGAATTCGATTGTTTAGGGCTCGGGTTAGGGTTAGGGTTGTGGTAAGGGTTATGGATAGCTTCAGGGTTATGGTTAGGGTTAGGGTTGGGATTAGAGTTTTTGTAAAACCGTTTTGTACGGCTGCAAAACCATAAAAACCAAAGTCACGTGAAATTTTTGGGCGAGCGAATTAGTAAAAGCCGTAATGTCCGGATTATATTATTGAAACTCAAACAACAATTACCTTGTTTGTAGACTTCGTGCATGTCAGGGTTTGCTTTAAAGAAGGTAGCTCGCATTGCTAGAGCCAATAGATGGTACACCTGTGGTAGTTTTAATATTAATCCCACTAATAAAAAGGTACATATTGATTAATTGAGAAAATTGGCCAAGAAGTGACCCTTTGCTGATGTCAATTTCTGCTCAATTTCAGCTCGCAAATGGAATTGAAAACTCGCGGTTTTTGGGATCAAGGTTGCAGAAAAATACTGTATAGAAAAGAAAGCATTTTTAGAATTTCGATTTAGGCTTGAAATTTTTTATAATTAACGTCGGGAGTAAAGTAAAATTAGCAACAAAACGTTTTTCATCACAAATCATATAATTATAAATATAAGCGAGAAGTTTAGATTTAATTATGATCATTAAAACCGCTGCTAAAAGTAAAATCTGAGGTATTGTTATCCTACACCAACTTGTTATCGCAATGTGACATGTGACCATCAACTCAATTTGCCAAGTTTCGAATATATTGTAAGTACAGACCTATTAAACTTATTTTTACTAAAATATTCGGCACTATCGAACAATTTTATTCTATTACAAAAAATTCCCGTACTATCAAGAATATTCTCAGAGGCATAATTAGACAAGACACAACTTGTTTCACGTTTCGACTTGTATCACGTGGTGACCCCCACTGTCGCTTCACTATAGTAGAGTTTCGACGATACAGGGGGAGCCGCGCACTCGTGCGCGGCGGCCGGTCATACAACGTATGACAAGTTTCGACTTTAACCCAGGAAGGGAACTGAACTGGGACACGCGCTATATTTATAACCTCTGGTAAAGATTAACGATAAATCGGAATTTGTTGTTATTTTGTAACTATATATAACGTCAATAAATTTTAAATAGCAGATATAAATTAAAATATCTGTAATAAGCAGTGTTGCATGTAGTGTTACGTTTAGTGTAACTGTTAGTGTTACGTTTAGTTTTACTTGTAGTGTTACGTGTTGTGTTAGGAGGAAAGATTTGTAATTGGACACCAACGAGTTTATGAAGTTGTAGCGCGATGCGTTACTGTGCCTGGCTAGATCGGCAAAATGCGCTACTGTGCCGCGCCGAGCTGCCATGAATTTACATTACCTGAGGACTCCAGGCTATTATGTTCATTAACATAAAGATTTGGCGGAATGACAGGCTGAGCGCGGCCCAGTAAGAATTTACATTGTCAATTAAATGAAGGAGAGCGACATATTATTATTAATATAATAGTAACTTTAATATAATAGTAACTTTACGTCACTGATGTCATTTATGAAAACTACTTGCTTTGCTCCTAAATCACGGACATATTAAATACGAGGATGTGGAAACATGCTTTCTCAAAATTTTGAATTAGCTCAAAGATGGAAGTAGATAAAATACCTTCGAGTTCGGTTTCTTCTGAAGAGCCCTCTCAAAGATAGAAATAGCGCTGGGTTCTCCTTCCAATATCCCTAACTTTAAATATTCTTCCCCGATCATACACAGGATATCTGGAGCACAATCTGTCTCCATTACCTGGTATGGCATATTTAAAAATAGTTCATGACATATTGAAAAGTTTAAAAGTTTAAAGAGATTCTGTTTCCTCATCACACTAGAGACCGATTAGATTTAAAAATTACGTCGGAAGAGTAGATGTGTGGGAATATTAAAGAGTTTAAAAACACAGACGTAAGTAATACAATTAATGCTTTTAGATAGTAATTTTAAAATCTATAAAGTTATAATCAAGATCTTAATTCTTGATTATTCTGAGGCATACATAGTACGACTTCAAACTCAACAAGAACAATGATAGGTCAACTGTAATATTGCTCATTGATCCATATTTAACTTTAAGGCTGTACTTGTAAATTTATAATCTACCAATTGACGCGCGCCGAGTTGAACTCGTCGACAGTCTTGAAACTCGTCGACGGTCTTGAAACAAGTATTTTACGAGTATCACCCGTTAAGGCTGTACCTGGGTGAAAATCCTGTCGGCCTCTTCATCCCCATTAGATTCAGGTAAAACTATAAGTATCAACTGGTTTTTAGCCTTGGCGTGGTATATCCGCGCCATCGTGAAATCCTCACACTTTGACAAAACCTTTTTAAACAAATCGAGAGATCGATTGAGATACCTGCAAACGTTATTTTGTTCAAGTATTTTTGATGAAATACCAGAAATTGCATTCCGTTTAAGTTTATGTGTGAGCGGAGACATATGTTAATTTGTTTTTTCTTCAACTGTTAAAAACCACCGAGTTAAACTTTTTGTTGTAAATATTCGTTTCATACTCAAATAATTCAAATTGGCACAGCTTCAAAAATAATTACTAAGTTACCAAGTTAAAAAATTACTAAATTACTAAATTGCTAAGTAGCCAAGTTACTAAGTACTTAAATTACTAAGTTAGCAGGTTACTTCGTTACTAAGTTACCAATTTATTAAATCATCAAGTTTCCTTACTAAGCTAAAAAGTCACCAAGTTGTATACTCACTTGAAGCCACTGATGCGACCTTCATGTTTTGACATATCGTACAACACTACAGCTAAACCGTAGCAGCCTATCAAATTATCTGGGTCCAGGTTTAGACACTCTTTATATTCCCTCGCAGCAGCGCAGTTTAATCCAAACCACTGACGGGGATTGAAACAATGGTTTAGCAAACACGGTTAATTAATAAATATTAATAATTATTTATTTAAAACTCCATAATGAAGCTGATCTCTTCGAAAAATATTCTGCGAGCAGAAATTGTAGTGATTACCTTTCACAAAGACGTTCGAAATTGTGTACAGTACAACTTTGTTATAATTTGCATCGAGGGAGGAAAGAATTTATTGAGGCGCATTAACACATATCGTTTCTATTGTAAGCAGTTCTGCAGGGTTACCTGCACATAGGTTTGTGTTTGAAGATAAAATAATTCGCTTAAAAACCGCGTTATTATAGCGAGGTCCGTGTTATACTTATAACGAGGTCCGCGTTGTGGTACTGACAAAAATTTAAATTATATTTATTATCTAGAAGATTACAGAAAAGTATAAAAACAAGATAATGGTAACTTTAAAAAGTAGAGAATAGTTGCCTGATAAAAGTGTCCCATTTCTGCGTGAATCTGACTGGAGCTGGATTGGTTGGTTGTTTTACATATTCTGTATATATCCGAGATTATCCTCTCAACCTTACAACGTTTAGTAAGTCAATTAATTTGGTGACATTTCATCAGCATTTATAAAGAAAATCTGAATGGGAATCTAGCAGAACCTGAATCTAGCAGTTTGATATTTGATTAAGTGATATGTGTGTCATAATGTTGTTATTGTTAATTTTAACAACTTATAGTAAATCTGCCCACAGTTTTGAAAAAAGATTCAAGCAATTTCAAAGTACAAATTTCAAACTTTTAAAAAACACTTTTTTAACTAAATCTCACCTCTGTATAATTGTTGATTTTTAAAGCAAGATAAGCTTTGTTTGATAAGCATACCACATTCTTCTCATCCAGCTTAGTTACATTCCGAAAACATTGCGCCCCTTTTTTACCTTTGAAAGTCTATTATTGATTAAACAAAATTCGATATAACATGATTTAGTTAAACAAATTGGATACATTATGATTTGAATAAGCAGAATCTAATAAAAACATAATTAATTTTTTATAGTTTACTTTATCTGCCGGTTGCACCCTTCGTTTACCTTCTCAAGTATGCTAACTTAATAAAATTAATTTACATCGCACAGCCATTGATCTTAAACTTAAACAAATAATTTATTAAGGAAGCACTGTGCTCCTCGATTACTATTTTAACTTAATCATTGATGCGAAAACTTAAACAGTCAGTTTTCCGGGAAATACTGTAGCCTTCGTTTACCTTTTTAACTGTATTATGGATAACCAGCTGTCGGTTTATCAAGATTAAAGGATAATATTTAAAATTCCAAACATTTCTTTTTAAAGTGGTATGCTTTTAGCGGTTCCAACTTAATAAAGCAGCATACCTTGTTAGACTTTTAATAATTGTCTCGCGTTGTTGATTGAAATATTGCATTGTAAAATGTAAATTCATTTCAGTAATTTACAGTCGTGACGCTGACAACATACTTTTATAAAATAAATATTGTCCGTTAAAATTATTGACCGTTAGGAATATGACCGAATGCCCACTCAACCGGCATACTTTAACGATCATGAATTTGACTGCTATCGGAGATTTCCAAAGAAGGGGTAGCCGACTAGTGACTACCCCTTCCTTGGAAATATCCGATTAGTTAAAATTAATACAGATCTCTTCTCTTACTGCATGCTGTAATAATGTCAACTGAACTCTGCCCAATTTTTCGATAGATATCTACAGTCTAAATGGCCATGGAAACAGTATGACCGTTAAAAATACCGACTGTTAAAAATATGGCCGCGGGATGGCCCAAACAGCGCTATTTTACAACCACCATAATATTAACGAGTATTAGAAATTCAGTTACATGACATTAACAATTACGAACATACATCTGATGTCTGAAACATCACAATAACATCAAAGACAACGTAACGTTACATTCTCCTTGGTGTGACGTCACACCCCCTCTTGTGTGACGCCACATCCTCTCTTGTGTGACGTCACACCCTCTCTTGTGTGACGTCACACCCTCTCTTGTGTGACGTCACACCCTCTCTTGTGTGACGTCACACCCTCTCTTGTGTGACGTCACACCCTCTCTTGTGTGACGTCACACACTCTCTTGTGTGACGTCACACCCTCTCTTGTGTGACGTCATACTTAAAACATCACAATAACATCAAAGACAGCGCTAGACAATGGGCGATTATGTACGGCCCTAAACGGCCTCTAAATAGCCTCCAAGTCCATACGGCGTCTAAATAGATAAAATAATATAAGTAATGGTTAAATGAACTTACCGTTTCCCTTAGCGCACTCAATGAACCCGATCAGATTTATCAGCACAGGCTTGAAGAAGGCCGGAAGAGTCTCCATTTTAAAGAGGATCTCATTGTGAACATATGCTAGTCTGTTTTGGTCCTGAAATTAATATGGTAGTCTGTTCTGGTCCTGAAATAAATATTTTAGTCTTTTTTGGTCCTGAAATTAATATGCTAGTCTGGTTTGGTCCTGAAATTAATATGCTAGTTTTTTTTTGGGACTGAAATTAATATGCTAGTCTGTTTTGGTCCTGGAATTAATTAAATTCGTTTACTTTTGGATTATAGAATTGAAAAATACAGTCTAAACATAACTTTTAGAATAAGTTAAACAAATGTCGGTTAGAACTTAGACTCTTTGTAGTGAAACCTGTGTTAAACTAGAAGAAAGAAGATCGCAAAACATTGCTCTCAAAGCAATATCTTTGAAGTGGTTTTGTTATTTATAATTTTATTGTCAACTTGTTTTAAATGTGGTTAGAATTTAGAACCTCCTTGATTTGATCGAGATGCTAGATGAGTTAAGATAGAGAAAATGAAAGAGATTTGACAAAATAAAATTCTTGGTTACAAGAAATAGAAAACGATGAAACATAGACATTTATCAGTTCCTAAATTTTAAAATGGAAAAGAAACCTGATAAAAGTAAAACACATTAGAATTTTCAAATAAATCAAGAAAATTGTAGATTTTATAGACGATCTCAAATGGCGTCTCTATAAGTCGTAAAGATAAACAAATACAATTCTAACGCTGTTACTAACGAGGTATAAAAATGTAACTCATGTATTTATTAGTTACTTAGTTACTTATCAATTTGTTTGTGTAACTAGCACTTACCTCCATTTATTATAGTGCAACTTATTGCATTATAAGTAATTAATTAGTTAACTAATACAATTAGTTAATTAGTGTAATTTAACAGTACTTACCTTTTCAATCTTGTGGTTGAAGTGACTCGGTAGTCTTTCTAGTTCAGACTGTAGCTCAAACTTATGTTCATAATTAACACTTTGTTTCGAAACCATTTCGTCTTTTTTATAACTAATTAATTAATTATGATTAATACGTTAATTATGGTAGAAGTAATGCAACTTTAGTGATGAAGATAATGATGCCAATAGTAAATAAATATTAAATTCTAACTTTTATTACACGATTCGACATTAAAAATGTACCCAAAATAATGTACATTTAACAGAAATCGAAACATTTTTATAAGTTTAAACTAAATATTTGGGCAAAATATGGTCGTGATATTTATGAGGAATCAATCAAAATGTTTTAATCACCTAATATTATTTGTAATTTTTAGTATTATGTAATGGGATGGAAGTGCTTTGACCAGGTGTAGACAATCACACCCCGGCTCCATAATATGAAAGACTTGTTTTAATTCTAAATGAAAAGCTCAAATACAATTTTTTCCAACGAATTTCTAATACTCTAATAAATATGCTATATTCTTAAAATTAAATCCAAAAAGAGCATGTTGCCCTTATCGCAGCAAAAAACGTGACAATCAAAGACTTTGAACACAAGCCACAAAGCATTAAACGTAAATAAAAGCTGTGATAGACTTATGTAACTGTAAATCACTGACTTCAAAGCAATTATTTTAAAGTTGAGTTTAAGGGCAATTTCAGTTCTTGATCAGTATCACATGCAAATAATGCAAGAGAAAGTTTGTAAAACTAGAAATTCCAAATCGGAAATTTCTTCGCATGCATATGTCATTTGCGCGTTCAATGCTCATATAGAACTTAAATGTTCGATATTTTAATCGCATTAATTAAAAAACATATGGGAAATTTTGATCGTATTAAAAGAATGATCGATATGAGTTCCAAGTTCACATGAATGATTATATTGTTCATGATTTGGATATGAATCAATGTTTTGACTGGCGATGATTTATGAAGTTTGAATCAATTTTTGAGAAAGTGATAGGTGTCTGCGATACGTTTTTTTTAACAACCTGATATAATAATATCAGCAATGAATTGTGAATATGGAGAATATCATACCTATTTATATGATGATATAATTACCAATCTCACTTCTCGTTATCAAATATCACAGGATCTGTACAGTGTTAGAAGATTCGAGGTCTTAGCTGAACCTGCAGAACTTCAGATTCAGTTTCGTGGTGGACTTTATCAACGGAATGGACTACTTACATAACTAACATAACTCACATAACTCATATAACTTACATAAATTACATAAATTACATAACTAACATAACTTACATAACTTACAGTTACATAACTTAAATAATCTACATAACTTCACCCACAATCCACATGCGTTCTCATATGTTGCTTAAGTCCACGAACGTTCTCATCACCGTTTGCAATACGACTTTATGCAAATAATAATTTAGCACCTCTCCGCAAGCAATCCTTGGTACTATTTAGTATTTAGCACCTGAAACCATAATGCTATAATGGTACTATTTAGTATTTCACCTGAAACCATAATGCTATAATGGTACTATTTAGTATTTAGCACCTGAAACCATAATGCTATAATGGTACTATTTAGTATTTCACCTGAAACCATAATGCTATAAGTATAATGGTACTATTTAGTATTTCACCTGAAACCATAATGCTATAATGGTACTATTTAGTATTTCACGCACGAGCACTGCAACTTATCCGACTATAATATGTACTGCTCTTTCATAAATGTACATATTTCACGAACATGCTCCTGCTGATGGAAACAAAGAATTTCCTGACCACAAACTTTAAAACTTTACTCTCGCCACTTGGTTTTATTTGTGAAATAAGTATTTTGGAACAATCCTCCAAAAATATTTTCCTGAATATCAGCTCTTATAGTCCATGGTTTCTGCTGGTTGGACAAGTTTGTTTTTTGTTCCACAAACATTTTATCGATTTTTTCCATCCAACAATTTTTTCCTAAAAAATTGTCGGAGGTCGCTAAATTTTAAAACCTCTAAAATTTTGGCCCCTCGTGAAGAAATTTATTCCTACACCCCTGGTACTCCTAGTGTGTTGAGTTTCAGTTGGTCAGAGATGTCCAGCAATAGTCTAGTATGAATTAATACCAGTGTTACCTGGGGACCTCAGGCTATAATTATGTTCATAAACATAATAGAGATTCGGCGGAATGACAGGCTGAGCGCGGCCCAGTAAATACCAGTGCTGTTAAGCACTTTGAGTTCAGCCTGGGAATCTGAGAATAAGTTAATGGTTGAGGTTGTTCCTAGGTTATCATTGATCCAGATACTTGCCATGTGGAGCGCAAGCCAAGCTGTCTAAGTTTAATGAGTTCTGGCAATTTGATATCGCAAGTCTGGGGGTACGCCTCTGTGTACGAGGATAAAGATGTGATTCAGAATTCCTTTCCGCCTTTGGGTAAAACATTATATCTTCCCACTTAAGACGAATCACCAAAATGGAGAACACTGGACGGAAAATTCAAGAAACTAAGAATAACTGTAAGGGTTATAACTTATAACACCGCTTTTATGAAATATGGCCCTGTTCCTCCAGGATCTTCTTCTCACGAACTTGGTAATCACGTGGTAATCACGTGTATTCACGCGGTAATCACGTGCTCAGTCCAAGACACATAAAGCACTAATCTAATTCTAACCATACATTTTGCTGTACAACTGATTAACTGGTGTTTGTCGTTGTTACACTGATCTTAAAATAAGATTTCGTTGCAATTTATCAATTAGTAGATCATGATTCATGATGCTCTCGACGAAATCCTTACTCTATAGTCAATAGTAATACGTAAATAATAAAATCAAAGATTTAAAGAAATTCCATATTATAATGAAATAATATAATTAAAGATTTGTCTCCTAAGGGACTTGTCACCCTCACGTAATATTTCAAATGTTTGGCTCTGTTTAAACAATATGGTTACTTAATGAATGTAATACTTTTTAGTTGTGAATTTAGTTTAAATTTCTTAACAACCACGTACAATGCTCCCACTTCCTTATATCATTAATTCTTTACAAGCCTAAATCTGACCACTCCCCCTCGAGTTGTAACTCCCTAAGTCCGCTAAAATGGATTGTTCTAAAGTCACGATCCCCAATTACTGCTTGTCAATCCACGTGGCAATCGAGCATTGTCAATCCACGTGGCAATCGATAATTTTGATCTTGGAATTTTGAACTCCAAGGCGACGACGTGCATTTTTTTCAAATATGTCAAATATTATTTGTATTAAGAATAATTGTTTGTCTCTCCACTCTCGAGCGTTGTAACCACATCTGATGTAAAGCCTAGCAGATCAGTATCTCTGAATATGTTTTTGGTTTGACATGTTGTTACGTTAAATGATCATGATCAAATAAAGTGTTAATACCATTTCACTTAATAATCCACTAAAACAGTACACACAGCTTTCTAAACACCACACCCCGCATACCTTAACCAAGCTTATAAACTCCTACCTAGCTGTAGACCCCTACTCCTCCTTAACTTAATCTTCAAATATCTCCTGCCTCCCTGCTTACAGTTACATGTACAGAATGTCTCCATTTCATCGCGCTCTGTCGTTATATTATCAGAGGGCATTTCACTAAATACTACTAAATAATAATAGTAAGAAGTATAGTTAAGCATTGGGTTGGCTTCTCTCCGGTATGTTCATAAAAGTCAAGGATGCAGATATAATCTTCATAAATATCAGTTGGATTGGTTTGGCAGTTGTCATTTTTTAGTCAATTACTATTTAGGTAGCTAAATCTGTAAATTTGATGAATTTCGTTGGATATTTTGGAAGCTTATAACAGTTGAACAGATCGGCTTACGGACAACTAAGAACCTGTCAATTTTAAATAGTTAACTAATTAACATGCTAGCTTGGGAAATCCAATCAGCTCCGACAACTAAGAACCAATCATTACATATCCCCGACAACTAAGAACCTCTGGTTCTTAGTTGACCTTAGTTAACTTCTTTAATCCTTAAAGCAGTCCTTAAAGCAGTCAATTATTACTCCTAAAAAGCTTTTACACCGTTCTTCAACAATCTTATCCCGTTGATTATAAAATCAGTAAATAAAATTTTTTGCTACATCTTATTCTTGGCTGAGCATGCCATTAAGCGTTTGCTGATTGTTGATTATTCACTGACATTTATAATTTTATCAACCTCCTATTTAAGTTGGATGCTTAAACTGATACCTGTAAAGTCACAACGATGAAGATAGTCCTTTTGAGCCTCCTCGCTCTCTTGGGTAAGCAATATGTCCTTATATAGGCAACTCGTGACGTAATATGTCCTTATATAGGCAACAAGTGACGTAATATGTCATTATATAGGCAACACGTGACGTAAATATGTCTCCTTATATCATATAATCCTTTTGAGCTTCCTTGCTCTCTTGAATAAGTGGTTATTATAGCAAATAGAAATACATTTAGATAGCTTTTCTATAAACTTTATATGAGCTATAATAATATTATAATGATATAATTTATTATAATAAACATAATAATATAATTAATAACTATAACGACTCGCCATTACAGGTTACGCCGTAGTGTCAACAGAAGACTGCACAGGTCTCCCGGCTGACTGGTACAGTCTCGAAACAACCGCTACCTTCCCCATCCGCAGCGGCCGTAAGATCGAGGTAACCTGTAAGAACGGATACGTTGCTGATAACGGCAACTCAGAAGTGACTTGTCTTCAAGGAAGGGTCTTCTCCTACAGCCTCCCTCTCGTCCAGTGTGAGCTCTCCTCCTCGGAGCCTGCTGAATGGACTAGACTCTCCCCAGGAAAACTGGTGGTAGCTGATATCGACCCTGCTGATACCATGATAGAGTTCAAGTTCACTCCTTATCAGAGAGCAAGGAACCTTAAGTTCTCTCTCTACACAAGGCTCTATAAAGATGGGAGTGAGGAGATGATGGGAAATATCAACATCTTCTACCAGATGACAAAGACCACCGTCACTAAAAGCAAGATCAGGATCGGAGCACGAGAGAATGGCAGTGGGTTCAAGTACTGTAACGATCTCTACACTCTCCAGAATTTCATCCCTAAAACTGTTTCACAGGATGTGGGAAGTGCTCACGTTGTTGAAGTGGACTCTGTTCGACAGGCTACATTCCAGCAAATGAACTGTGAAGCTTATGGAGCGTGGAGGAACCTGATTTCAAGTGGAGTTATCTCACATGTGAGCTTTGGACTGTCTGATCTGAACAGAAACCTAAAGAAATTCTTGGCAATTCACTATCGATTGGTTAAGATTACAGCCCCCACTACCTTCCCTCCAACATCCAGAGATGGGGTTACTTTCGCCTTTTCTGAAAGTCCAACTCAAGCTTATGAGCTGGGAGAGCTGAATATTGATCCCAATGCAGGAAACGATGAATCACCTTCAAGCGATGAATCATCAGGTGAGCATTCTAGCGGTGGATCATCTTCAAGCGGTGGATCATCAGGTGGACATTCCAGCGGTGGATCATCTTCAAGCAGTGGGTCATCAGGAGTTGGAGGCGGATCATCTGGATCATCTTCAAGCGGTGGATCATCAAGCGGACATTCTAGTGGTGGATCATCTTCGAACGGTGGATCATCAGGTGGACATTCCAGCGGTGGATCATCTTCAAGCGGTGGATCATCAGGTGGGCATTCCAGCGGTGGATCATCTTCAAGCAGTGGGTCATCAGGAGTTGGAGGCGGATCATCTGGATCATCTTTAGGCGGTGGATCATCAAGTGGACATTCCAGCGGTGGATCATCTTCAAGCGGTGGATCATCAGGTGGGCATTCCAGCGGTGGATCATCTTCAAGCAGTGGGTCATCAGGAGTTGGAGGCGGATCATCTGGATCATCTTCAAGTAGTGGATCATCAGGCGTTGGAGGCGGATCATCTGGATCATCTGGATCATCTGGATCATCTGGATCATCTGGATCATCTGGATCATCTGGATCATCTGGATCATCTGGATCATCTGGATCATCTGGATCATCTGGATCATCTGGATCATCTGGATCATCTGGATCATCTGGATCATCTGGATCATCTGGATCATCTGGATCATCTGGATCATCTGGATCATCTGGATCATCTGGATCATCTTCAAGCAGTGGATCATCTTCAAGCAGTGGATCATCTTCAAGAGGTGGAAGCAATTCTAGTGGCCGAAATATACCATCAAATGATTCGGAAAATAATTCCCAATACGACGCACCTGCAGCTGTATCTACCAAGGCGGTTTTCTCAGCTGGTGAATCTGCACACCCTATTTGCAGCATATATGCCAGTGGAGTCATAGATGACTTCGATAGTGGTGTTAATCGATACGATTTGAAATGCACTCATGTTCTGGCAGCAGACTACTTTGGATTGGATGGTAAAATGCCTTGGTTCATCTATGGCTCATTTGATGAGTTCGATGGAGTAAGATCCCTTGCTGCCATGGCATTCTTTTTGGGTAGAAGTACACCTTTCGAGATCCAGAGGGGATGGATGATCAATGACGACGGAAGCAAGATGAAGATCAAGGAAGAGAAGGAAGTAACTATGGGAGAAACAGGCTGTACCATTCTCTTTGCCCAGAACGTTCTCAAGATAACTTGCGCTCCATTTACCGTATACTACGACGGTATGATGTCCGCTCACATCGAGTACACCTCCAAGACCACCCAGGTTGGAACAGCCAAGGGTATGTTCAACATTGGACTTTGTTTCGATAACCAATCAGGACGACGACCCAACTGGCAGGTGAACACCATAGCAACCTGCTCGGTGACACCTGGAGCTCAGAAATTCTGCAACGGTGCCTCTCCTACCTTCTGTAACAACCTTCCTGATAGGGGTGACGCGTACCGACAAGCCTGTAACCAGATGTTCTGTGATAAGAAGCAGAGCTCTGGATCAAACGATCTGAGTGATAAGCAAAAGTGTGCTCTTTCCGTGTCTGCTGCAGCTAAGCGTAACCTCCAGGGCTTCTCAAGCGGTTATCCTTCGTCAGGGTGCCCCAGTGATAACTGTACCTGGAAACATAGTGTCATCGAATCTGGTTGTTTCCAAGACCCATTCTTCGTCGGATGCAACTAAACTAATCGCTCATCTTGAAACGTATCTGGAGAGGTTTGCTGGAGCATTTTTAACTTAAACTTGGCTGGCAACAGAGAAAAGACTGCATGTTTGCAATGTTAAAACAATGAAGCGCTCGTGGAAATCAATGGGCCAGCTTGCTTAAACTATCTCCCCAAGAGGCAGTCTCGTGCTTCTCTGCAGATGACTACCTCGTTATGATAAATAAGTTTGTGTATGGATGGACAAATATTTATTATTAAGTCACTATGAACACTATATTATTTTAATTTAGAGGCTCTTCATTTTTGAAACCGTGATCTATTGGAATATATTATTTCATGATATTTGTTAGAATCAATTTTTGATGGTTTCTTTATACAATCAATATTGTTAATAAAATAATTGTAATATTAAAGTTTTTTCTAAAATCTATGTAGTTTCATCATATTCATAATTTTGACATTTTTGTTTTCTTTCTGGTGATACCGAACATAATATCTTACACATTTTACACATGTTACATGTTTAAATAATCGAGCGACCCCCTCCGGCCGACTCCTCCAATCCTTTACTCCTCTGACCCCTCCCCCTCCAATCCTTTACTCCTCTGACCCCTCCCCTCCAATAACTTACTCCTCCGACCCCCACCCCTCCAATCCCATCCCCCTCCGACCCCTCCAACCCCTCCAATCCTTTACTCCTCTGACCCCTCCCCGGCCTCCAATCCCAGCTCCCGAACTGGTATCATTGTTATTGAATTCACCACGCTATACACAACATCAAATACATACCTTATTGGACGTTATTTATGATTAACCGTACATTGCGTGAACAGACATAATCTTGGATAGACAATAAACTTTAAAATGAACGCTCGAACATCGAAGACATTGAAAATTATTACATATTACATATTAGACATCCAAAAGTTTTTACATTTTTGGGCGTTTTTTATTTTTTATCTTTTTGTTTTAACGATAATTTTTTAATCGACAGTAATATAATTATAAACGTGAAACAAGAAAAATAGTTCTTAAACAGTAATTTGATATGATTTAGTTTAACGGGTGATGCTCGTAAAATATTTGTTCCAAAGTCCAACTCGGTTCCGAGTCCAACTTGGCGTGCGTCCTAGTAGGTTATAAACCTACAAGATTTACTTTTAGTCCAATCAGATATATAGATTATAGATCATAAATAATATAAATTGAAATCGATCAAATTAAAAAGTAATCATATCCTGGACAATAAATTCGTAGTGAAATATTTTTGGGAACATTAAATTTTAACGGACTTTGATTTTAGGATGATGATTAATCACTTTATATTACAGTCGACTGTCACGTGCGCCATCGACAATGAGCCGCGCAAATTAAGCTGACTTGTTTGAGTTGTAACGTATAATATAATGTCGGATGGTTGTCCAAAAAAGTTGAAGTATATATACTTCAACTTTTTTGGACATTTTCTTCATTCTTTGTCTATGAGTAGTCAGCTTAACAATTTTTGCTATGATTGGATAGAGGGAAGGTTATTACCAAATATGTTGATTTACGATGTCAATCCTTCGCATCTCGCCGATCTTTACTGGGCCGCGCTCAGCCTGTCATTCCGCCAAATCTTTATGTTAATGAACATGATAGCCTGAGGTCCCCAGGTAAGCCGATCTGTGGTTGCGAGAAGCATTATTGGATGCGCGCGCGCGACCCAGTAGTGCATCGCGCTACAACCAAATATGCATTTGTTTTACGAATTTTGTGCTGGCCGGAATTATCGTTAAAAATTAAAAATTGGCTTTTACTAATATTTTTAATTCGCTCGCCCAAAAATTATTACGTGTGAGGTGACTTTGGTTTTTACGGTTTTGCAGCCGTGAACAAAACGATTTTACATAAACTGTAAACACTAATCCCAACTCTAACTATAACCCCGAAGCTATATATCTATAACCCTAACCCGACGGCGACATAATCGAATTCATGTTTTACTAGCCTGTCACGTGACTAAAATGTTTTTTGCTCATAACTCTCTAGGAAATATTTCTACATCATGACGCGCGCCGAGTTGTATTGGACTCATCGACGCGACGGTCTTAGGTAATATTCTACGAGTATCACCCGTTAGGGGCCATCTACTTAGGACGTCCGCCAAAATCGCAGATTTTCAGACCACCCCCTCAACTCCCCCTGTCCGGGTGTCCGAATTTTCAAAACCACTCCCTCCCCCGGACGTCCGGATTTCTTGACGGGTGTTACTCGTCTTAATTTCTTCGAAGTAGTGCGCGCCGCTTTCTTCTCGAAATATTGCCCGATGGCAAGTGCTACGAAGTAGCGCGCGCCGGGCCAGGCCATTAACAATGGTCAACCGGATTTCCAGCTACTTTTAAGAGTACAAATAAGATTAGGACCAACTCAAATTCATTGTTAATAAAATTCAAAGAGTTGAAATAAATGGGACTTTTTCGTTAATTCTGCCAAAATTTCCGGATTTTCAGAAACCACCCTCTCACCTCTCCCCCTGTCCAAAATTCCAAAACCACACCCCCCCCCCCCTTCTTATTTGTCGGACGTCCTAAGTAGATGGCCCCTTAATTTAACATTCCACGGATGAATGTCAGATTTCAATTTTTGCAAGATTTTTCTCCCAGTTTACTATTGATCATAATATTTTAGGCTTTGATTGATGTCATCCTTTAGTTTTACCAGGGTTGAATTCATTTCCGCGCAAAAGGGGACATGGAGCTCAGAGCATCAATATGATAAAACGGTATAGACCAATTTAAATCAATTATGCGCGATGTTGCGAGATATAATAGTGGGAGCCACGAACAATTAAAACACTAAATTTCCAACATCCAGACACCTGAATGTGATCAATGGCAAATAAAACTTTGGTGAAAGGCATCACTATAATAAAAAACAAACAACCCCTCCTCAGTGCGCACTTATGTTACTTAATTAATACAATAAGTGACACTGCAGATACCTGCACTTCGTAATTAGTAATTAACTAATTAACATTTATCTACTAATTAAACAATAATCTATTTATAAGGCTCATTAACAGAAGTTAACGCATCATCAGCAAAGCTCCAAATTCCGGTTAGGGCAACAGCTCCGCAGAATCTGTTACGCCACCACGTAAATCGGAAGTTTGACTGACGGTGCGGTGCTAACTCCGCAAACTGTCAGAGTAATAAATGAGCAGAGGAACATACAATGGAACTACGTGTGAAGTCAGGATTTGGGCAGCTACGTTTGTACCGGGCTGGACCAGCATAAAATCTAAACTGAGTGACAGTCATGGAAAAGTATTTAAATTTAAAAAAGTCGGATCGCCCGGTTTTGTTTAGCTGCTCCACATGTTTTCTAGCTTAATCTATATGACTATAACTCTATCCTACAAATCAGTTTCAACTGAAGTTTACTAAAAGAATCGATTATCTTTGTACAATTTTCTATCAAAAATACTTCTGTCTCAAAACCAAGTCCAATGATACAAAACTCATTCCTGTCATCACGTTCATTTTGTGAAACTATAATCACTTTCGTTCTGTGGTGAAACTATGATCACTATTATCAAAACCAGGCGGGTTAATTGTATCCAATTATTTAAGTAGATTCATATCAAATTACCCACGTTATACTTGATTAGCTTATCCAGCTAACAAAACATGACGTCATAATGTTACAATTGATGACGTGATAGGGGGATGACCGTAGTTTCACGACAGCCAGAAATCATACATACATCTCATTTACAAGTTTTAGGGGGGTGGGGAAGGGGAAGGGACTAAAATATGTGATCATTATATCTACGAAAATCAAATTCCACAACTTTATCAAAGTATTACAATACCAAATGGTGGCAAGCGGAGCTGTTAACTGCTCTGCATCCCAATAAATTGCTGTAAATTGAATTTCAAGATCGGAAGAAAATCCATCAATAGATTTAATAATAAATGCTTATTATCTACAGAATATTAATGCGGCCGGTCAACGGCGCGCGCCCACGTGCAATATTTGTGCTTTGAGTCAACTTTCTCCATTAGTGATCAATCAGTTAATTGATCAATTACCTATCATTTAACCAATTAACTTGACACTGAGATTGTCATGTGAATCTGCCGTGCACTGTAAACCCTGTCCTGACAAGATCAAGAATTGGTCACGTGACAGCTTGATATGACGTCACGCGACTGAGTGATGACGTCACGCGACTGGGTGATGAGGTCACGTGACCGAGTGATGAGGTCACGTGGCTTGGTAAACAAGATCAGATTGGAGGCTGACATTTAGTGGGTGTATTACAGTCTTAATTCATTAGCTATGTTAACTGCAATGTCTTTGAACGCCAAGGAATTTCCTGAAAGGGAAATTTATTACTCAATAATTTAGTGACTATGTATATTGAGCATCGCTTTAAATTTACGGATTGCAAGATTATGGAGAAATAAAAACCATGGCACTGAATCAAATCACCCTTAACCCCCTTATCATCATACCTGATATCCGCTTGAAGCGAACACCGTTCAGCGATAGTCTAGGGAGTTTACAAACTTCCATTTCCCACTGAATAAGGTTATCTGAGGTAACATTGTCGACTGGCCGTACGCAGAGAAGTAAATAACGTTCTCGGTGTTCGTAGTCAATGTTGTTTAATTCTAGCACTCGCGTTATCTCCTGCAATGATTAGAAAGCAATTAGCAACTAATTAATTAAGTTTTAAATCTAGAATTAAGTGATTTCGTTATTGGCTGTTTTTGTATCTGACTAGGCGAGACATGCTAACAATGGACTTCGCTGGGGCGGGAACTTATCGGTGGTAAAAAATACGAACCTTCATCATTTCGTTAGGCTCCTTGCTACTGGTAGTCTTCATGCTCCATGTAAATCTCAGAGAGCGCGGTTTGGACTCGGAGTCGTTTTGAAGTTGCGTCGACCTAAAACTTTAGTTCAGTGTTAGGAATACTCAAGTAAATGTGAGTGAGTGTGTGTGTGTGTGTGTGCGCGCGTCTTGGTGTGTGTGTATGTGCACGTGCTGGAGTGAGTCCGTTTGTACAATTGGGAGGGTGCGTGTAGCATGTATCTTACTTTGAAACGAACTTCATAGCATAAGGTTTAGAGAAGCTACATTTACTATGTCTTAAACCTGTACAAACATTCCTCAGGCAATGGAAATATTAGAAATATATTTTCGATAAACTGGAAAAATCACGGCAATTGGAGCCATCTACAAAATATCCGCTTTTAAAGCTCAATGTTCGACAACTCTTCTCCTTCCCAATTGTAAGGCAGGGTTTGTGTGTGTGTGTGTGTGTGTGTGTGTGTGTGTGTGTATGTGTGTATGTGTGTGTATGTGTGTTCGTTTATGTGTTCATTCGTGTGTTCAAGTTTGTTTATGTTTGCTGGGGGGGATACAACGGTCATTAATGTGCATTAATGGGCATAAATGGGCATTAATGTGCATTAATGTATATGTATATAATACTGACATTAATGACCAGTTTTTTTTTTTGCGACATAGGTAACAAATTTTGTAGTAGTTCGTGGTTATTTATGTGCATTAATGGGCATTAATGGGCATAAATGGGCATAAATGCGCATTAATGTATATGTAATTGTATATTTCAGCAAAATTCTATGATACTGACATTAATGACCGTTGTAACCCCCCCCCCCCCCCCCCCTGTTTGCTTATATGTTTGTGAATGTGTGTATGTGTATTTGTGTGGCTGTGAGTGTAAAAACGTGTTTTATATTAAATCATTTTGCAACTTGAGCATATAAATTTAAAATCAGTTCAACAAAACAAATAAACAGGGGCTCCCAAGACCAACATAACAATTTACCGCATGCTTATAAACAATCACAGATCTCACAGATTGTAAAGATTTCACAGATCTCACAGATTAGCAGGTAGAGAGAGTATGATGTATGAATTAGCTTAACAAGTATAAGCCACCACCAAGTGTACTAATTTGATGGGGAAGATTGAAAAGTTAAATTAAAACTATTCCGAACAAATCTACACTGATGAGGTAGCATGTGCACTGATTCCGACTGATTCTCGACATAACTGATAACTTACTCTCAGAAAGTAGATCATTATACCACGTGCTGCGCACACAGCGCGGGGTGGAGCCTCTCAAGATAGATAATCAGTAGGAATGAAACTATTTGAATGTTGGTAAAAAAGAGCATGCCGGGGATAAAGGCTGAAACAGCCACTGAAAAGAGAGAAATACAGAGAGGAGACAGGTTAGCATAGTCTACCTCAAATCAGCAAGCTAAGTAGAGCAGACAAATCAGGAAACTTCAAATCTCACAACAGACCAGGAAAGGGCCCTGAATGAGGCCAGGCCGCTTCCAAGCTTCGTTAAAAACGGACGAGGATAGTTATTGGCATGGGGTCGACGGAAAACGAGCAAATTTGTACAGATAATCGTCAGGACCCGGGAAAAGAAGGCTTATCATGCAAGCGACTAGATTTGTTCAGTAGAAATATTGTTAAGGGAATTTTGTTGAAAAAAACACCTATAAGGAGTCAGGATATTAAACAACAAGAATGGACCGATCTAACACTTTAAACAAGTAGGCAATGCACCTGTTCTAAGTTTTCACCAAAAACAATATGTCTACTGAATGAGGAGATAAAGGGCAAGCTAGTGTTTTGTCAGATAGAGTAGTATAATCCAGCTTCTGCTTCAAGCGCTATCTCTAGACCTGTTAAATCTTGGCAGCGGAGACGGTTGGTCGTAAGTAGGGTGTTGGTGCCTGTTGTGAGTGGAGGGTGCGCGGACGGAACGAGATCGTTCTAGCGGCGGTGGTGGCGGCGCCCCCGGCGCTACTACATTTAACTTATTGCTGAAATGAAGGGGTTACGGGGGATTGTGAAGGGCGTACTGGGAGGACAGCAGATAACAGCAGGGTAGCGGAGTGAGGGGTGAAGTGAGGGGTGAAGTGAGGGGTGAAGTGAGGGGTGAAGTGAGGGGTGAACTGGTGAAGTGAGGGTTGGAGTTGTACCTGGAACTGTCCATGTCTGTTGTGCTGTTGTTTTCGAGGATTTTGTGTCGGAGATTTCGGTCGGACGTAGCACGTCGTCGTTGTATCAGCGATGTGATTGGTCTAGCTTGCAGTTCGTAAACGTCGTGATCGTGTATGTTCCCGGGTTTTTTGTCCCTGGTTCGTTCGGACGAGGACCTATTCCGGCCCACCACCCTTGGTTTGTCAGTCGATCTGTCTGTTAACCTGCCCCTGGAACCTGCCTCCGATAGCCTGGACCTAGAGCCAGAATCTGGTAACCTGTTCCGGGATCCAGAGTCAAATATCCTGGTCCTTGAACCAGAATCAGCGACTCTAGACCTAGAGCCAGATAACCTGTTTCTGGAACCTCTCGTTACCACAGGGTCAGGGTTTATAAACAGATCGTCAGTGCTTGTGTTACTTGTGTCGTATGGTCGAAGTGTGTCTTGTAGTGCGCGTCTGAGAGATGGTCTTATTTTAAAACTTGGCAAGGTTTTTATCTATTTAATAGCATGGCTCTGAGTTAAATTAATTTTAGCTCGATCATCCCTCGATTTACCACTACCAGATTATTGTGTTTAAAATTTTTGGGGATAGGTCTTGTTCGTTGGGACATTAGTTTATTAAAATTAGAAAATGACGAACACGACGGAGAAAATGTGCAAGTATGAGCAGGGAACGATTGTCAATTGGTAGCTAGCAGCCTAGCATAACATAGGCAGTATCAACAAAGACAGTTTTTGTGGTAAATCAGGAGGTGACCGTGAAACTCAATGTAGCACACCTGTCAAACGATGTTCCACCGCCTCCCCCTCCTTTGTGCTTCACGTATCTATCTGATTTGGGTCGGTTCCTTGTACAAGACTTCTCTACCACAACTGTGTCTGGCTGTTTTTCAGAGGTAACGCCGCGCACAGGCCCACGTGCGGGATCTCGTTTTCTGTGTCGCTCGGAGGCGGGACGGTTTCTACTCAGCGGGACTGCTTGTTGGTTGTTTATACCACTGTGCGTCAGACTGTTCTGTATGATTGGGTCGAGTATGGGAGGAGGAGACACATGCGAGGAGTCACTGATGGAGGTACGCTGTGGTTTGGCTGGTTTTTTAACCACTTCAACACTATTCTCGTCCAAACCGTCACTTCCTGCTGTTAAATCTGTACTCGCTGTCAGCTTCCCGTTTTGTTCCGGGGTATGTAAACAATGTTCGGAATGTTCCGTAAAGTCACTGTGTAAACTGTGGTCCGACTGGTTTATAATCAGATCAGCGCCATCTATAAAGGAGTTATAGAGGGAGACGTTATCTTTTGTTATCTGAGGCATCGGTTCACTTTCCAACTTAGCATACTGTCCTTCTGGTGGTCTGTGTGTTTGTGTGTTAATTGTCTGTGTCTTTGTTTGTACCGGAGTGTTTGTCAATTTTTTTTTCTTAGAGAGGGGATATTTATCGTGACGCGTCAAATTGTGGAGGATTTTCTTAAAATTTAGTTTAATTGTTGAAATTATCATCTGATATTGCAAATGTAAGTCAGGTTTGAAATGTGTGCGATGTAAGACACGTGATAAATACCCCCACTATATATCTTAGTTCCTAGTTCCTACTCATGCAATGTGAAAGTGAAAAATAGAAAATACCCGTAATACCAACAGTGAGTTTAAAGTGATTCATGTTTACTTCCGATTGCTTATAAATGTGCTACTGAGTGAAAAAACCAAAGGAAAAAAAACAGGCAACACATTGCAAACACAAGGAACAATTTCTAAACACTTATATCCAACACATTTAACATATAATGAACACTCACTTGGAATTGCTGCCTTTAAACTTGTTGGTGATCCGGGAAAGGATGTTGGATGAACGATTGCGATCGTTAGCCGACTGATTTGAAGGTGTACTTGTTGAGTTACTTCCGGGAGGCCAGCGTTTTTGTCCGCGCGTGTTTCCGTGAAACGTGCTCCGGTGTGGTGTTTGCCGCGAGTGGAAACCGTCCTGAGTCAGGTTGTCCGGGTAAGATTTCTGTTTATAACTGATGTGCTAGTAAATTTAGTTTTACCATGTTGATGAATTTTAAACAGCTCAAATTCGTTGTGACTGTTTTTTGGTTGCACAAAATACGTTAAATGAATGTAAAATATCGAAATGTTTCTAAAGTTGTAATCGAAGCAATCTGCTAAGAGTTAGATTGAGAATATATTTAAAGCGGGGGGGGGGGGGGGGGGGGGATCAGGTACTAAGTTCTCCCTTACCCCCCCCCCCCCCCCCCCCGTTAAATGCAACTTACAGTCGTGTGAGGGCTACTGCTCTGGAATCCTACTGCACTATTGGTTCTGTTCGTTGTTGAGGGTGGGCTGAGGTAATTATTCATTAAAACCAGTCAATTAGTTAATTAATGATAGTTTAATCAATTATAAAATAATAAAACGATGCAAAAACAGTAGAATATATAATGCAAAAACGTTTAAAAAACCCTCACTGCTACACAAACATACATCTCACCAACCAACATCGACCTGTTATATATTGCACACTAGGAAGTTTAAAATAGATATCTGATATATCTATTTCAGATATATATCTATATATATAGAGATATCTGATATATCTGTAATTGATCAGTTTTCATAGTATAGCTTGATTTAATTTGCTGAGGCTTTTTTTCAGTGATTGATAGCATATTATATTTAAGTTAATCAATCGACACAATTTATTAAAGTTATAAAATCTGAAATTAGGGGGGAGTATTTTAGCAAGTTTTCAGCCATGCAAACTCGGTTCATTCTCACACACAATGCAAATATCTGTATGTACGTGGTTTATTGCATCACGTGTTATCACATGTCTTTCTGAGATGGATCTTTGGCCAATCTTTGTAGATCCTTGTCCGACAGGGAATTGAAAGTTCGGTGTCAGTAGCAGATTCCCTTTCAGATTCTTTCAGATTCGGTTAAACCGCAAAATTTCATAGGGTCAACATTCCGATAGTTAATCAAGCACAAAGACCAATTAGAAATGAAATCATCTTTTTCCCTTTTTGATCCCAAATTTTGCTATAATTTACATGCAAATAGTCTCACACGACCCCACACTGCCCTTCACACTCTCCCTAACGTGACCCCACGCTCATCACACACTCATCACACGTGACGTCACACTCCATCACACGTGACGTCACACTCGGCACTCCTTCACACGTGACGTCACACTCCTTCACACGTGACGTCACACTCCACCACACGTGACGTCACACTCCTTCACACGTGACGTCACACTCCATCACACGTGACGTCACACTCCACCACACGTGACGTCACACTCCACCACACGTGACGTCACACCTCAGTCCCTCACAATTAACACGCTGTCTCTCTCATATCTAACCTAGGACTAATTCTCTGGTTTGAGCGGTTGTGTCCGACTCCTGACGAGCTCTGAGTCCGTCCGTGTTTAGATACACCAGTGCTCTGACCGGAAGCGGCGGAAGAGGAGGAGGTAGAGGAGACTTTGTAGGGCTTGGTGGTGGGGGAGGCTGCTATCCTGAGGTTCTTGGCCATGATATTCTGCATCATTCTGGGGGGAGGGCAGCCACATGTAACACTAGCAGATCATAACAACGTGTAACGTGCAGCAGTGGTGTGGTGATGTCACGTGGTGTGATGACGTCACGTGGTATACTACGTCGTAATATGAGGTGTGTTATGGTGTGTTGAATAATTGAAAAAGATTTATTAAAAGTGGTAGGAATTCTTGAATGTTTTTAAAATTTACTAGATTAAATTTTGTCACGATGCTGGCGCAAACTGGTTTTACTTTTCATTTAACTTAGATACTCTAGTAGCAGGGAATAGTTGAGTGTGCACTTCGATGTATACGATTTCTGACAACACAGGGTTGTTTGTTAGATCATTCTTAACCAAAATCGTTTAGGTACGCAATTTGTGTCGCTAGACATAACCCTACAGGGCAAATTTTCTAAATTACCCTGAGTCGCGTATACGGGATTTTTGTATTTCAGCTCCTGAAGGTCATAGAGACTTCAAATTTAGCTTAAAATTACCGCAATGGCCATATTTATATACAAGTTATGAAGCAACATAAGGTCTCCAGTGCTTTGTTTTATAGATATATTGACAAAAACCTGTTTTTTGGCTCAGCGAACCAAAAATGGGACTGAATTTTGATAACTTGAACTAGGAAAATCGTAGAGACTTGATTTTTAGCTTAAAATGAGCGCAAACATCACATTTATATACAACTTATAAAGCAATATAAGCCCTTTAATGCTTATTTGTTAAGATATTGACAAAAATCGGTCATTTTGGCTACACGCGTGAGGAAAAATACCAAATTGGGCAACAACTTTGGTCTTTTTTTTACCAGTTTTGTGCTCAAGTTATTAAAATGTGCTTTGATGTTGTAGATCGGGTGTTTTCTTCCAATATGGGTTTCGGTATAAATCTGGAAGCACCCGGTTCATGGGTGATAGGGGTTAAAAACCCTAAAATGTCAGGCGATGGGCGAGACAATTGTCTGAATTTGGTTATAAAAACACTTGCACTCTTTGCTAGGGTTTGATTTTTTCTGCTACATCGATCCGATTTCTAACTACTAATCATCCCCCTCTACATCATTCTCTTTTAGATACATGATTTCTATAAGGTACATCCGGCATGATGTAAAGTCTATATCAAAGCATTTTAATGTGGTCTTAACAAATTGCAAGATATTCAAGTTGATTGGGCGACATCTGTCCGACAGCGACATCTGTCCGAAAGCTGAATTAGGGATTTCGGACAGATGTCGCTGTCGGACAGGAGTCGTTTTTGGCGACATCTGTCCGAATTTCGGATCATATTGTAATTTCGGTTCACATTCGTATTTCACAAGCTCACGGGTAATCTCGTGACGTTCTAAAGCTGATGTGATCCCTTAAGATCTGATCCATCGATACGTGATTGACTAGTTGAGAACAGGATCGTGCTAGCCGTACCCTAACAAGCTGTCGATCACATCACAGGACATGAGTACATATAGGACAGCAGTATGGAGATCACTTATCGCAATCCACAATGGCAACCAATCTTCAGTTTATCCCTGGACGCAAACAAGGCTCGGAGAACCCTGTCCTAAATGGCTTCAGATACGTCTTCGACAAGCGAAGAGACGACACCTCCTACTGGAAATGTTCGGATTTCCGAAAGGGTTGCAGAGCCCGCATCCGTACCGTGGACAGACAACTGATCACTCCTACTCCTGACCACACTCACCCTGTCGGCCATGCTGAAACGACCGTCCACGTCAGCAAACAGAACTTGAAAAGAAAGGCTTCTGGTGGAGATCAACCGACGAAATACCTCGTATCTGAAGCAGTCGGTGGATTGGGTTACGAATCTAGAGCGAAGCTTGGCTGCCAGCTATCATCCCTCAACAGAATGGTACAGAGAAGCAGAAAAGCAGCTAACAGACACCCTTCTAACCTGAGAGATCTGGAAACGCTCTCCATTCCTGCAAACTACATCCTCTCTACCGACAACGAACCAATGATGCTCTGGGACTCTGGATGGGACGAACAGACTCGTCGATCTTTCCTTTGGGGGACTCCTGGAAGATCATATGGTGGACGCGGAGCATTGGGTAGTCAACGGTACCTTCAAATCCGCACCTAATCTCTTCCATCAGCTCTTCACAGTCCATGGCCTCTTCCCAACACGAAGCTGCACAGATGAGGATTCCTCGCTCATCCAACATCGCAGAAGGTTGGCATCACGGATTCCATTCAATGCTGTCCTGCTCGAAGCCCACAATTTGGAAGTTCCTTGATTGCCTTAAAGCAGAACAAGCCCTTACAGACGTGAAGAAAACCAAAAGAGACGGGCGGGAACTACCTGAGCCACGTGCACCCAAATGGATCCGTTATGATCGACATCTTCAGAGAATTGTAGATGATTACGACAACTACAGCAACCCTATGGATTTCCTTAAAGCTATCGGAAATTTTACTATGCTTTAGATTTGATTCTGTGATATTGTATTACATTGAATTAATTTATAACATTTAAATAACATTGAAACTATTGTCCAATTTATCGATTTCAAATGAAAATAAACTGTGGTAGTAAACTATGGCTCAGATCATATCTCAAATTGGACATGTTACGTATACAATTTAGCAAGTAACAGTTTAGATCATGTCTCTAATTGGAAATGTGTCGTATTGAAATCAGGTCACAATTTCGGACAGCTGTCGTTTTTTTCTGGTACCCTGATTCGGACAGATGTCGCTGTCGGACAGATGTCGCTGTCGGACAGGAGTCGTGTTACCATTCAGATTCACTAATAAAACAAAGATTGTAGGTTATAATCCTTCTTTTACATATTGAGTAATTTTGGCTACACAGGAAAGATACCAAATTGGTTTACCAAACGAAGATTGTAGGTTATCTATTATTCTTTACATGATTATTGACACAACTTCATAGTCAAACCTGTATTATTTTAAATATTTAATATTTATCCACACTCTCCATAAGAATATTATTGGGAGTCATTTTTGTGGTTAAAATTCGATTAAATCAGTATTTCCAAGCAAAAAACTGTCCCAAATTTCTCCTCCGAATATGGTCCGCTAGTTCGAAATTTTAGCACTTATGAACGTTATTGTTAGACATTACATTAGTGTAATACCACTGAGACCAGATGTAGTGATCTATTCAGATAAAGCGAAGAAGGTGCATCTGAATGAGGAGAACTTTGCTGATCAAGAGAAAAGAATATGAAGAGATATCAGCAGCTGACAGAAGAGATTGCAAGCTCCAGACAGTAGCAGTTCGAGTTCGAGTTCGAGGCATTTACAACTGCAGCCTCCAAACCTTTATGAACCACTGCACCTGAACGTAAACACTAAAGAGAAAAAGGCCTGCATGAAGATCGCTGAAATTAGCATGAGGGCATCATACACCATCTATCTGTCCAGAAACACCATTATATGGACAGATGATTGGGAGTTAGTCGAGAGGCTAGTAATTGCATAGTAGGAGCGTATAATGTTTGTAGAATGTAATTATTTTTACAAACTACCGTTCAAAACTTATAGATCAAGTGATTGCCTACCCACAATTATATTACAACGTCGTGGGGTCAGTTGATATTGTTGCTAAAAATCAGGAGCAAGCGTCTTGATACAGGATACCATAAATCTGTATAAGTTTTAAGTAGTTTCATTCTACGTTTAATATTATTATTGAGTCGTTTACGTTAAAGTTATATTCGGCCATTTTATAGCCTCCCCCTCAAAAAGCCCACAATTACTCAATATTATGTAAAAGAAGGATAACCTACAATCTTTGTTTTATATTAGTGAATTTGAATATCTTGCAACTTGTTAAGACCACATTAAAATGCTTTGATATAGACTTTACATCATGCCGGATGTACCTTTAAGAACTAAAAGAAATCATGTATCTAAAAGAGAATGATGTAGAGGGGGATGATTAGTAGTTAGAAATCGGATGTAGCAGAAAAAAGCAAACCCTAGCAAAGAGTGCAAGTGTTTTTATAACCAAATTCAGACAATTGTCTCGCCCATCGCCTGACATTTTAGGGTTTTTAACCCCTATCACCCATGAACCGGGTGCTTCCAGATTTATACCGAAACCCATATTGGAAGAAAACACCCGATCTACAACATCAAAGCACATTTTAATAACTTGAGCACAAAACTGGTCAAAAAAAGACATAAGTTGTTGCCCAATTTGGTATTTTTCCTCACGCGTGTAGCCAAAATGACCGATTTTTGTCAATATCTTAACAAATAAGCATTAAAGGGCTTATATTGCTTTATAAGTTGTATATAAATGTGATGTTTGCGCTCATTTTAAGCTAAAAATCAAGTCTCTACGATTTTCCTAGTTCAAGTTATCAAAATTCAGTCCCATTTTTGGTTCGCTGAGCCAAAAAAACAGTTTTTTGTCAATATCTATAAAACAAAGCACTGGAGACCTTATGTTGCTTCATAACTTGTATATAAATATGGCCATTGCGGTAATTTTAAGCTAAATTTGAAGTCTCTATGACCTTCAGGAGCTGAAATACAAAAATCCCGTATACGCGACTCAGGGTAATTTAGAAAATTTGCCCTGTAGGGTTATGTCTAGCGACACAAATTGCGTACCTAAACGATTTTGGTTAAGAATGATCTAACAAACAACCCTGTGTTGTCAGAAATCGTATACATCGAAGTGCACACTCAACTATTCCCTGCTACTGGAGTAAGATTCCTGAGTAACAATCTTGAGTAACAATCGAAGATGATACTATACATTTAATACAAATTGAAATTGAATGGTAAATACCAAATAAATGAGTCTTTAAAAGATTGTTAAAATAATATCAGTTTGAATCTAATGCTTCACACTCAATTACAAACCCACCTAGTAAAATAAAACCGGTATCTCCGAGCTGATGCAAAAATGGAATGCTATCAAAATTAAACCCCATCAGCGAAAGTATGTAGCCTCAACTTGGCCGACAAGCATGAGTTGACGCCAATATTATGTCAGTTGAAATTAGATGCCTGGTTCAGTATATCTACAGGACACATCAACACTAAATTATAGCTACACAGTGTACGCTAACCCCGTCAATGTGACATGTGTCACCATGGTGATATGACACGTTGTCATGGTGATATGACACGTCACCATAGTGATATGCCACGCAATGTGCTGTTATCTTACCCTTCCTGACTACCGTACGTTTTTCTCAGTTGTTTTAAACTGTAAAAATTAGACTCAAATACTATGCTCTTATTTTTGGAAACAGTTTTAACTGAGGAACAATGCTGGAAATGCTCAGATAAGGGGGATTTTAATTTACAGATATTGTCTGAAATTACAGATGTCAGGTCATTATTATTATTATATTAGGTCAGTTATTATTGACATGGACAGTCCAGATAGGGGTGCACCAAAATTCGAAAAAGTGAGTTAGACTGGAAGTGAGTTAGATTATGAGGAAGAAATGAGAAGATGGCAGCGCTTGAGATTCAGTATAAGTTGTTTCAGCCACGCGGAACCAAATCAGCATGGAGGAGAACACTACTATAACCAAGTGACATGTAATTCAAGCAAACGTCATAAAGCAATATTGTATAGATATAGGATCGCTAGAGCAGTAAAGTAATTATTAATTATACCAGAGATAATTATAATCTTGAGAAGGAAAATATTCAAATAGGCACTATAATAATTAAATTTGGTGCAATGATTACACCGCCTTTTTGAACCCATTATATATTTTTCAAGAGCACCAAGTACAGCGGTATTTCATACAGCACGTGATCAAATATCTAATCTAAACTTACGTCTCATTAGTTGTGTTTCCATCTGTGTAGTAGATCGTGTGTCTCCTGTCTGGGGCGCCCACTTCGTTCTGAAAATTACTCTCCATGAGTGGTTGGCTTGTGACACGTGACTTAGTCATGTGACTACAATTAGAGCTCTCTCTAATTGTAGTCACGTGACGTGACTACAATTAGAAAGAGCTCTTTTTTAGAGACGTTATCAGAGGGATTTAAATTTAAAAACTTGGTAAAAACACAAATGTTTGTATTAAAAGCATAACCAACGTATTTTTACACGTATTTTGATAAGTCCCAATGTGGAATACATGCTTGTTAGTGTTTACATGTCCCCTTGTCATGATCATGCAACGTTAAATAACAACACTAACTGCCACTTATTACATAAATGTACACAGCAATGTTTACAAACTAAAGTTGATATTATCATGGGGTAGAGTTCGACTGGTTTATTTAGCAAGCTTTGGGGCTAGAAATCTGGGGGCTTTGCATGTCAGAACATGAACCATAACGCCCCCCCCCCCCCCCCCCCCATAACACAGGCTACGATCGCGCATGAATCACACTAACTTTCAGAGCTTATCACGCGGAAATGCAAGGGTACTCATAACTCAATCACATTGTGCTCGTCATGCTTACCACACTAAGATTATACTTCAATAATTTCAAGGGTTCTAATAGCATTCATCTCCAAATTTCCTATGATAATCACGCAAGCATTCTTATCAGTCAAACTATCACAATGATCATCTTATCAGTTATCACTCATATCACACTCATATCACACTCATCAAACATATCACTCATGCTGGTTCAAACTCATCACATGTAACCTATGACTCATGCTGATCAAACTCATGATACTCATGCCGATCACACTTTTCACACTCATGCTCTGATCACACCTTCTCACATACCCTACGCTCTTCTGGGCCCCGCCTGACCTTGTTAGGTATCTCCGACTTATCCGGGTTAGCTGCTGTTCCCTCCGGTTTAGTCACTTTCGCGTGGTTGTTGCTGTAGTCTGAAGGGAAGGACAACTGTTAGGGTGAGGACATAAACACGTGATTAACACGTGATTAGCGCACGTGTCATCGTGCAGAGCCACACCCAACTGGGTATATGTATAATAGTAATTCTTATTTCCACACGATTCGCAGGTGGAAAGAACCAAGTTCGGAACTTGTATTATACATTTTACAGACAGTTCAAAACATAAGTTTCAAGATACAATTTTCGGATATTTTCAAAGGGAAAAAATGTGCAAAGATGAAACCAAAGTCCTGATTACCGAAGTCAATCACTCGAACTAACATTTCCCCCAAGATAAAAACGACGCCCAAAATCCCTACAACCCCACAACTAAAATCACCTGAATTATTATTCCCCCTAGAAGAAGCTGAACTATTAATCCTAGGAGCTGTTACAGTCCGCCTTCTCCCCTGTTCGTTGTTAATTCCGCTGGGTTTAGCTGCGGGTTTGACGGATCCGGGCCGTTTGGAGGCGTCAACACCTCCGCCACGTCTGGGAGAGGAGTGTGGAACTGAGCCCTCTGTGGAGAGGTTGGAGGAGGAATCCTGTGGAGATATATTTTATCATTTAGTTTAAGGGCAGGGTACAAGTGTGCCTCCAGGTTGGGTAAACTATTTATTGTCACCTTGTTTTCCTCTAATATCATGATCTAGCGTTGCTAGTTGTGTAGTTGTTTGTTCCGTTATTCTTTTTCCTTCCTCTTTTCCTTGTCATCCCCTTTAGTTTTAAGATTCTTGCTATAAATGGCTACAGCTAACACTATTAATGCTAAGTACCAAACAACAAGTGGGAGGTGGATCGTTGGTATACCTTTAAATCGATTTAACACCGCAATTCCAGTCGCAAGCCTGGGACCACTACTAGCATAGTCACAACATCGACAAAGCTGCCATATAGCCTGACTGACAATTTTCTCGACTGACTGACAATGTTTCTTCTTTTTCCCCATTTAGAATACAAAGATTAGTACATTTTAGCTTATGATTAATATTATATTTTTACCTATAGTTTACCTAGATGTATGTATGATCATACTGCGTACACGCCCATGTTCATTATAACAGACTTTAAGTCTACAATTGGTGCACCCCGAGCTATATTTAGTCGTTAGGCGACTGAAAACGTTGTTGTAAAGTGTAAAGTGTCCTGACTGTTCAGTAATTGTCGGACATTAAATAGTGTACGGACACACATGCAGTTTGTCGCTCAAATTACGTAAAGGCAGTGCGCGCGTCCTGCGCGTCGGCCTAAAATGCTGATAGTAGCTTGCTTTTTATTATCAAACCTTGTTTTGATGCTGAAATTATGTGCTTTACGCGCGTCCAATCACAACCCCTTATTCGGAACATCATTACGGAACACTCTTATTAAGCGCAGCTTTTCCAGGCAAACTTCACAACTATCATATCTTCGCACTATAATTACATCTACCCTCCGTCCTTCATTAATGTGTACTGTATAATGTGCGGGGTACACACCTAGTAAACATGCAGTAAACATACAGTAAACATGTTATTATTACAACAACAACTTGGCACCGTAATTAGATATACATTAGTTTCCTGCTTTTCCTGCTTGGATATTAAGTTTATCTCAGAGAGGAACTCGTTTAGTAAACTAAACTGCGAGTTTGTGTTTTCACACGAAACACTAGAATAATACTAATAACACGATTAAGCGGGGATGTTGTCGTCCCAAACAGGAAATGAAAAGTGGTGTTATCTAACCTAAAGGAGGGCTAAAACAATTATAATATTAGGTGAAGGAGCACAGAAGACAAAGTGAAGACAAAGTGAAGACTAAGTGAAGACAAAGTGAAGTTTCCAAAACACGGTTGTTAATTAACAGATTGGTTGTGTGCCATGGGGGATAGTGTTACATTTAATTGGGAGGTACTCATGGTGTGTGGTGTTATTCTTTTAATTATCCGCGGTTCTTATATGGTTAGTATACCGGGGGTCTATGTATATTGTGACTACATTGTACATGATGTACACAGTGTATATTGTACTTTGTTGTTAAACATTTCCGGCATATTATGGAGAACATTATGTTATGCCATTATACAATGCGTCAATTATAGATTAGGATATCAGTTGTTTCACTAAAATGTGGACAATATTCATGCACAAAGCACATTAAGCATGGTTAATTAATTAATTAATTAATTAATACATCAAATTATTTCCTATAACTGTTCAATTCCTGGCGTCTGGTGAATTTGATCTGTTCAACAACGAAGTATTTTGTCCTACAACAGTGTTTGTTGTGATACGTGAATAATGTTGACCAATCAGATCTTTATAATTTAATGTATACATGCAATTGTCAAGTGTCAAAACAGCTCTCTGCTCAATGCAAATGTACATCAAAATAATAGTCAGGAAATGATTATCAAGCATAATTTTATGATGATGATTGGAGAATCCAATAAATGTCCAATAATTTCGTTTTGACCCTATCAGCTTCTCAGTTGTATCCAATTACACAGGCACTGTCACGTGTGAAAACAAATACATTTCTTGGTATTTGTAGAAATACCAGCCAGGACCAGGAAATTCTATAAAATAAAGTATTTTATGACCATAAAATAATGCTCTCCGCATAATGAATGTGTATCGTGTAACCTCAGAATTTTAATAATCGTGTGCTTGAGCGCCATGTTGTGTTACTATATGTTGCAAATTATTTAAAAACTAAAACCGCGTGTCATATTATCAGAGCTGAGGAACTTAATTCCGCAAAGAGTGCAAATAGATTATGTGTCCTTATATAGTGCACACGCGGTCCTAATATGGGCATACGGGAACTTTTGTGATAGCCCTAATAAGGGCATGAAAACTGTTGTGAGGCGACAAAATGCATCAACAAACGGCTCAAATTCACAACTCACGCCTGTCACGCGTCAAAACAAATCGAGTAACCTCCACCCCTGCTGATGCCGTTATATGGTTTTAATAATACAGTCAATGTAACTTGTCACTAAGTTGGCAAATGGCAATAATGCGGTGCAGGTAAAATACGGTGCATGATGTGCGTCAAACTTTATGAAACTGAGTAATAAAACATTGTCAGTATATTATTTAAAGGGTGGGGTGTGACATGTGATACCTGCCACGATGGTGGGGTGTGACATGTGATACCTGCCACGATGGTGTGACGTTATTTAAGCTGACAGGCAGTAAATGTTTTTACAGAACATGCTGATTGCTGATAGCAAAGGCATATCGTGGACTGGAAGCAGAAAATAGACCCCGACAACAGAAAATAAACTGACAGCAGAAAATAAACTGACAGCAGAAAATAAGCGGTAACATATCTAAACTGTTACTTATTTTACTGTAACAATAAATTACCGCAACACTGGTTTTAATGTGTATCTTATATCTGGTTGTGTAACTGTTTTTTATATATTTAAAGGTACAAATATTCTGCTAACTGATCGGTTGTCTGGTTGGTTACTTTCTGATAATGTGACAAGATGTAACCATTTTCATAGTAAAGTTTTAAAGGTCTTCAACTATTGATGTAATTTTACAGTAAAACATGTCACTTAGTTTTGACACAATTTACGTAATGACATGAGATTGTGATGACAGTAAAGAACGATATTCTTGTACTGACGATAAATTAATGATTCTGTCTGATTCTATAAATTGCATATTTGAACTTTTCATGTAATGACGTGACAATAAACGTGTCACGTGACAATAAACATGTCACGTGACATCATTTAGATACTGTCTTTGACACAAAGCAATTGTGTCATTAAAGTAAATGACATGCCTTTGTGAGGCTATATTATTATGACAGGACGAAATGTACACGATGATCTTTAACTTATATCAATGACCTAGTATCCATCACGTACGTCGTACACTCAAGATGGAAAATACCGGAATCAGTGCAACTATAGTTAACATAACTGTCGGAGGATATATTAGTACACATTATATTCCGTTTTCGCATGCAGACTACTGAAGCTTTATAATAAACCATATATATCTAGCTCAGAGAAGTGGTGGAGATTATGTTAAATTTAGTAGAGAATATGTTGGATTTAACATAGTGCCACCTGGTAGTGGTACTACCACTTATCATGCGCTTTTATCATTATACTTGGTAATCATTATTTTTAACCACAGATGGATTTTAACAAAGCATAGTTACAGTGACGTAGAATGATCAGCTATTGCTAAGGCTTGTAGTGCATGCGTTGCAGTGTGCATAACCGTGCTAAGTTGAGTCCGTAGCAAAAATTGGAAACAAATTAAGCCAATGTCGCGCAGAAATTGGTGTCAAATTTTAGTAAATAATTAATTTAACATAATATGACATAACATAACCCAAAGCTTCTTTTTTCTTAATTTGATTTTTTAATTTAATTTTTAAAATAACTCACAGCTTTGGTAGGCTTCGTGCCCAAGAGGTGGTATGTAGCGTACACCTCGTTAAAAGCCAGTTCTGATAATGCCCGGTGAATCTCTATCTTGCTGTATCCCATCTTCAACATTATTTCTGAAACACGGCAAGTATAAAGTGCCTGTAGATCATAACTATTTTAAAACCAAATAAATTTCAAAACATTTTTATCAGGTAAAACCCCTGTGCTTATAATCTTGATTTGCACGATGGCAGAATATATTTTTTCAGGTTGAAAAAGAAAGATCAAACAAGAGTAAGTAACCTATTCTGTCCAGATCGAATGCTTTACCTATTCGGTCTTGGTCGAATGCCTCGGCTTGCTTGTCCAAGGCAGGACGCAATTTTTCGTTATCTTCGTACCCTGTGTTCATCCATCTGTCATTCATTATAGCCTGCAGAGTGAGGGAGTTGGCAAAATAGGGGGATAGACAATCTGCTAGACAAACAGACAGATAGACAGACAGACAGACAGACAGACATACATACATGCATACATACATACATACAGACAGACAGACAGACAGACAGACAGACAGACAGACAGACAGACAGACAGACAGACAGACATACAGACAGACATACAGACAGACAGACAGACAGACAGACAGACAGACAGACAGACAGACAGACAGACAGACAGACAGACAGACAGACAAACTCACCTCGAGCGAATGTCGCTTCACAGGATTAAGGATAAGGAACTTCTTCAACAGATTCTCACAATCAGTACTCATATAGAAAGGAATCCTGTACTTTCCCCGCAACACACGTTCTCGGAGCTCCTGAAATATTTACTTGTGTTTAAAATACATTTTTTTACATGTCAACCTAGATATTATGCTTACTAAGCGATATATTTCATTTTGTCACAATAAATAATTGCGATGTGAAAACTGTGCTCCACGTTTCTAGGCTTTAGCTTCTATTAAAGTAACAAAATGATAGAGTTGAGTGGTCGCCCAATGAAGCTATTATAAAACGGGCGAGGGTAGTCAAATGAACATGTCCATATAAGGAATGATTGGTAATGGTGGGGAAAGTACAGGATTCCACACTGTCAATACAGTGTGGACTAGAAATATAGAACCCCGCCAACACATATTGGGAGGAGGGTATTAAATCTCCCTTTTTTCACACTCATAATATCCTATTTTACACTGATATCCTATTTGCAAAATTGCCTCTTTCTTTGCCACTTTCCTAGAAGTTATAATAGAAAGTTCCAACCCCCCCCCCCCCCCCCCCATCAAAGGCAGATACTAAATACCGGACACAGCCACACATAACAGTAAATACCTCTAATACTTAACAGGTACGTGACTTAAACCGAGCATACCTCACGTACCTCAGTACCTGCCTAATTAATTGGATTAGGTACCTTTAAGTTCTGTCCGTCAAAGGGCAGGGATCCTGATACGAGAGTGTAGAGTATGACACCTAACGACCACACGTCAACTTCAGGTCCATCATACTTCTTACCCTGCGAGGAAGTCGTTAAATTGAGATTCTAGGTCGCTTCATAACTTATTTGCATATCTTAATTTTGATAGCATGAATCGAGGTATTTAAGTATGTTGTAATATTTAATAGTGTGACGACCAGATTAGATAATTGAGCGGAGGAAGCGTTTGATAAGATTATTATTGAGAGAATAAGGCTTAAATCTTATTATTTTGATATCTTAAATAAAATGCAATTTTTATGAGTTGCCAGCTCTAGCTGGTCGTCATTTATTACACAAGTTTATTCACAATACCGCTAATTTAAACAATTTCATAGTGAATAGATAACTTGTTGACGTCACTACTGACGGTATGATAACTACAAAGTACAATATAACATCACGTGACAGTCTAAAGTGGTACAATCACGTCACAAGTCAGCCTGATGACGTAACACAATAAACGTGACAGTCCAAAGTGGTACAATCGCGTCACAAGTCAGCCTGATGACGTAACACAATAAACGTGACAGTCGAAAGTGGTACAATCACGTCACAAGTCAGCATGATGACGTAACACAATAAACACCAACCTGAAAGAGCTCCGGAGCAGCGTAGGGCGGACTGCCACAGAACGTGTCCAACTTAGTGCCGGCTGTGAACTCGTTACTGAACCCAAAGTCTGCTAACTTCATGTTCATTTCCGCGTCCAGCAGCAGGTTTTCCGCTTTAAGATCTCTGTGGATTATACCCTTCTGATGACAGTACTGCACTGCTGATACGATCTGAGGGAGAAACAATTAATTTACTTATAAATCTCCCGTAATCTATTAATTAATCAACCAAATTATTTATAAATGAATTGGTTTATTCTTAAGCGATGCTTATTTCAACTTAGTTATTCCAACAACCACATGGCTATTAATCAAGTAACCAGCCAATTACATGACGCCGATTGTTATTTAAGACAAATGACAGTTATGGTAGAGTGTGTACCACTACACGAGTGCAAATCCTCATTTAACTCGGAATCACAGTTTTACTGTGCAGCGAGGACTGCAACTGCAAAATCCACTTTAATACAGTAAAACCCCACTTTATTACAGTAAAACCCCACTTTAATACAGCAAAAATCCACTTTATTAAAGTAAAAACCCACTTTACCACGGCTTTGTTTTCTTTCCCCGCAGTAAATCGGGGTTTTACTGTAGTTTAGAGTGTAGTTAGGTAATACCAAGGCTATAAGATATTCACGCTAATTGGTTAGTTTATAATATCACATGATTGGAATGTACGCTGACATCACGAAGTGGTCCCACTGTGCATTACACCATTAAGTTATGAAACTAAAATGTTTACGGATTATACATACGGTAATTAACCATGACAGTTAAGCTTTAGCGTACTAGACAAACATAAACCCATTTATGCTTTACAATAACCTAAAAGAGACCCCTAACTATCTAAGCAGGTCCGGCTCACGTACACAGTACACAGGTCAGAGTAACAATCCTACTGTGTACTACTATACATATTTTAAACATATTTACATACCTTAGTCGGTAATATTATGGACTATTACACAGTGGGCTACCATGCTAGCATAGGCCTAAAATCGACTTTCTTAAATTTCTTTGAAAATAAGCTTTCCTTATTGTAAAACGCTAGCCCGATTTCATGCAAAAAACCGTAATTAAAAACTTTGCAAGATGCCAAAATGGCGTCGCGTGAAAAAATAGCATTTTTCACTGTCAAGAAATTTTGCCTTTTTTAGCCAAAAATTGCCTAATATTTATTATTTTGGGCTAAAATGCCTGATCAAGGCAGTTTTTAATAATTGAAATACAGTATAGTACTTAAAAATACTCAGCCATCTAAAAAAAACTGTGTGACTTTAACATTTTCACCTGATTTTTGACCGCGCCTTTTTTATGGCGTGTATTTTAGGCAATTTTTGGGGTATTTAATTTTAGATTTGAGTTCCTAAGATAGCTGTCCTTCGTTTACAGTTCATAAAAGAGCTTTAAAATTGATTAAACCTCTAAAAAAACAACTTTTCCTGGGATCAGCCTCCTATTTTTGGACTACAAGATTGCTTAAAAACGGCCCAAAAATTTTTTCTGAGACATTTTCGGCCCTGTAAATGATTGGAATCGTATTTTTGTACCCAATTTACCTTAGAAACAAAGTTAGGGGCATGTGTGATGGTCTAAAATACCCTATGCTAGCATGACCCCCACTCACAGCCCACTTTATATTATAAATATGGTTCTTTGGCCCGAAAAGAACCAAATTTGACCACCCACAATTTTAACTGCGACTTTCCTTCCGTGAAAAAATTTCAAATCGAAAATATTTGATGAATTTGATGATTTAAGTTAGACTCGTCCTATCCGGGCATTCAACTATGCTTGGTTAAATCCAATTCATCAAATTTTTTTCGCAATTTATAACCACATCACACCAAATTAAATATTTTTTCAAAAAATTTACCAAAAACTAACCCTACGATGTGAACAATTTCAGCTCGCAAAAGGAGTTGAAAACTCGCGATTTTAGCAGAAATTAGAACATAAGGCCTGACTTTTAAAATTTGCTAGAATAAAGCTTTCGACTACTGGGTTTCCAGTATTTGTATCTCACAGTTGGATTTAACCGATCATATTTGAATACAACCCTGCCCAGACGAATCTTACTTAAATCATGATGATATTAGGATATAGAGCTTCGTGTATCAATCCCACTGTCACTGTATCGTTCCCAAACTATTGATACGAATTCTGGTGGGAAGGTGAGGAATATTGACACGTGACATTTTCCCCGACACCGCACAGCGACCAACCAATCAGCTCCCAGCGTGAACCAATCAATCCCCTCCCACCGACACCCATATCTACATTTCCCACAGTTACACAATATCAGTTACACGTATACTATATATACATAAATACACGGCGCGTGTACGTGTAGAGGTGTAGTACACGGCTATCTCCCTGGTAGAGAAGCTGTACTACTGTTTTAGTAGAGGGTATTAGTATACTGTTATATAAATACATTGTGACACCAGAGTACTTAGATACACTTGTGTACTGTAACACGTATATGGGCAATTTCATGAAACATGAACAAGGAGGGAAAAAAATAAATTTCAGTTATGGCACTAGCTTTGATTGGAGTCTGAAAGAGAAGATTATAAACTGTTAGACACAAAAAAACCGCTTATAAATATCTCACTTCGTTTCTGTGTTATCGCGTTTTCAAAATACCCATAAATTGTCATGTTTTACAGGCTAAAACTACTCTATAATAAAAGCTGTTTACTAAAAAGAGATTGTTGTAATATTCATTAATTCTTGATCTGTAAAGGTGCATACCACTTCACTGAAGCTGTATGCAAAATTTGGGACTCAAAATTTAAGCAGATTCGGAGCAATGCTATTCTACTTTCTCCTGTTTTTAGTGTAAATTACTATACATAAAAAACAAAAAAGTTTTCTGCTGGCCACATTTCATGTTATTTCTTGCTGAAATCTTGCTAAAACAAGCTAACTCTGATGTCAAGACATAATGTACTTGTTAATTTAGATCCATAGATATCAGATCATGTCAAAACCAGCGTCAAGTAAGTTACATGTCAAGTAATTTACGTGTCAAGTAATTTACACATATGCTTTTTATTCAGTAATAGTAGTAAAACACAACAAGTAACGATTGTCAAACAGAATAAAAGTTATTTGAAAGTGATAATAGATTGGTTCTGGTCAGAATTTCATTAAAGAAATCTATAAAAATGGTTTAAAATGGTTAAAAATTGACTTTTCGAAAATATAATATAAATAATACTTTACTTTACAGAAAATCCAGTGGCCTGCTTGAACACACATTTTTGAGCTGGGAAACATTCGTACATTTACGCCCACCTACCTACTCTGTATAACTGGGCTAACTGTGGACCCAATCAGTGGATCAATCAACCAATTAAGGGGGCCGGGGGGTCTTCATCAAAATTCCCTCGAAATTGACTTTTTAGTTGTTTCTGATAGAAGGGAGTGATATCTATCAGATGCTTTTGGTCCCATGGAAAAATATTATTCCTAGCCGAAATTATTGTCGGTCAAAGATCAGCACTTATGTGTAATTGTATTGCGCGAGCGATTTTCAATCACGTGTCCTGAAAATCGAGTCTAAAAATCTATTTTCTCCTACATGTTTTGAGCAATCACCCTGAAACTTTCAGGATATGTTCTAGAGATAATTTAAAAGAGATGAGCCAAACAGCATTTTGAGATAGGCCTTTAAACATATTTTATTCGATTTTGAAAATCTTGAACCTCCTTTTTTGACGATTTTTTGAGGTCCAAGATTTTCAAAAATTGAAAATCGCTCGCGCAATACAATTACACATAAGCGCTGACATTTGACCGATAATAATTTCGTCTAGGAACAATATTTTTCCATGGGACCAAAAGCATCTGATAGATATCACTCCCCTCTATTAGAAACAACTATAAAGTCAATTTCGAGAAAATTTTGATGAAGGCCCCCCCGGCCCCCTTAATTGGCTAATGATAAACTGATATATCATTATTAATCATATATTACATAGTTCATACACTTAGCAAACGAATTAAAGACAAAGGGGCAGCTTTAAACAGTTAAAATCAAAGGATTGTGTAACACTGTAAACTACTTGACACAAAAGAGTAACTTACTTTACAAGGAACAAAGGCTTCTACAGAACACAGCTATTAACCATTTACCAAAACAAACCCTTTCCAGTACAGGCAAGACATTTGCCAGTGTGCATGAAAAATATTTAAATGTTTACTCTCACACCTGGGCACGAAATGAGATTTCAATACACGTTGGTCAGGAATGTCAATTTGTGCCCTGTAATTTACTTTACATTTTCAAACGTGCCTCACTCAAAAGCCATAGCAGTTGGAGTAAAAATCTTAATATAGCTGTGTGTGGAGTACATAAGAGATGTTTCATGCAATTTATCATGATTCTGTTATGTTTGTGTAATGCTTGAGAGTCAGAATAAGGCCAAATTTTTGTGCAAAGTGTAATTTACTTTACGTGAAATCGCCCATATATGGTATACAGGTGTGAAGATTGCAGTGTCTCGGCTGATATTAGGTTAACTAGCTCAATGTTCAGTCGATAAACCGATCAAATTAGTTAATAATTGATTGTGTGTGTGTGTGTGTGTGTGTGTGTGTGTGTGTGTGTGTGTGTGTGTGTGTGTGTGTGTGTGTGTGTGTGTGTGTGTGTGTGTGTGTGTGTGTGTGTGTGTGTGTGTGTGTGTGTGTGTGTGTGTGTGTGTGTGTGTGTGTGTGTGTGTGTGTGTGTGTGTGTGTGTGTGTGTGTGTGTGTGTGTGTGTGTGTGTGTGTGTGTGTGTGTGTGTGTGTGTGTGTGTGTGTGTGTGTGTGTGTGTGTGTGTGTGTGTGTGTGTGTGGGGTGTGTGTGTGTGTGTGTGTGTGTGTGTGTGTGTGTGTGTGTGTGTGCGGGTTATAATAGCGCAGTTAAATACCAGTAGTGACGTTAATCACGGGTACTTCTGCTTGTACACCAGCAAGTTGTATGTAACTATGTATAACATATTGTGGGTGTGTGTGTGTGGTCAGTACATTGTACAGCATGTTACTTGTCAGGGTGGTAATACTTCTACTAGCATAATATACTGATACTGCTAGCATTTCTACTGAGTTATTATGTACTTTACAGTAATACTTCTATTATTAAATAGTTATAATGAAACTAGTTTTACTATGATAACCCAGGGATACTCCTAAAGGTGCAGAGTTATCTAAATATTAGGTATTTGTTAGATAATCGCTCAAAACAGAGTCTTGGACTGCTAACTTACTTCTTGTCACCCCCCCCCCCCCCCCCCCCAATACTGAATTTCTAAGGTACAGTTAACCTGGCCTTATCTGCACCAGGTTTGGAGAAGTTTGTGACATGTAAGCATGTTGACAGGGGCGTGCGCGCAGGGGGGAGGCGATGCCCCTGCATGGTGATTGTTGATGGTTAACGTTGCACCATAGCACTTATTTTCATATGTTCGCTGCACGTATCATGTTATCTAATCTATAACTGTTAAAAGAAGCTAGTGTTTTAACTTGATAGAAAAGACATTCAAGAAACTGAAGTTAACTAGTAAAGTGATGATCGCATTATTTGTGATGTGATTTTATCAAGTTTTTAAGGTTTCCCCGAGTGACGGGCGGAGTTGCGCGCCCCCGTTATATTCGAATACATTTTGTTTGTTAATCAACGGCTTCTCCAGTCATTATACAGCTGAGAGGTACAGGTGCTGAGAAATTAGTAGTTCTCTTTCTTCTAACACGTATGTGTTTGACAATACTGTAGGTCTTGTGTTGGAACCGAGGTACTGGATAGACTGGTGACTGGTAACTGGTTGTTGGTAACTGGTAACTGGTAACCGGTTACTGGCTGTTGGTAACTGGTAATTATTTGAGCCTGACATGTCTTTTTAGATAGACTGGTAATTAATATTGGTGACATGGTCAGTTATTGGTAACTAGATTGGAAGCGAGCTTGGCATATCACATTATCGTACCAGTATTTCATGTGTAATATGTATTACTGAACAGCTTCTTAAAATGTCTAAATCCTCATCCAATTTGAGCGTCATGCCACTGCACTAGAGTGTACTAACATTACAGATTTAACGAGAAAAAGGACAAAAAGTACACATTTCTGTGTGAGATGAAGCAGTATACACGGTAGGCGTGTCACTTGTGATATTTGTTACATCTAGTAATGCAATGGTCAGTTTGATATGGTCAGTTTGACATGGTCAGTTTGACATGGTCAGTTTGACATGGTCAGTTTGACATGGTCAGTTTGACATGGTCAGTTTGACATGGACAGTTTGACATGGTCAGTTTGACATGGTCAGTTTGACATGGTCAGTTTGACATGGTCAGTTTGACATGGTCAGTTTGACATGGTCAGTTTGACATGGTCAGTTTGACATGGTCAGTTTGACATGGTCAGTTTGACATGGTCAGTTTGACATGGTCAGTTTGACATGGTCAGTTTGACATGGTCAGTTTGACATGGTCAGTTTGACATGGTCAGTTTGACATGGTCAGTTTGACATGGTCAGTTTGACATGGTCAGTTTGACATGGTCAGTTTGACATGGTCAGTTTGACATGGTCAGTTTGACATGGTCAGTTTGACATGGTCAGTAACACACTGAGAATCTGAGTATCGCTCTTTACCGTGATCAGGAAGGGTTTAATACCTTGATTATAAAATGATGTTGCCTAGCGACCATCCTGCTCCTCCGCCCTGCTACACATGGCAGCAACTCAGAAAGTCATTTCAACCGAGTGAACACCCAGCGCTGGCCAGTAAATAGTAAATACACACATTGAGCCAGCGCTGGCTAGGCCTTTGATAACACATTTATAGACATGTACATTACAATAGGACTAATGACACCCCCGCCCCCCCAAATATCAGGAACTGTGAAGTGTATTTTATTATGTACCTCTACCTTTTTCAAATCCTGACCCCAGTAATAACAGTAGCTGTACTGAAGCTGCACTGAAGCTGTAACTTATATGTTTCTAGAACCCACTACAGAATTGAACTTACAATCTGATTAAGCCCTACGTTGTGTGTTTCCAAAAGCACTATACACTCTGATTATAACTATCCAGTAGTAATACCCTGCTAACTGTGGAGTGTAGCTCACATTTGACAACAACACCGACTAATCACCTATGTCAATACACGAAAATGAGTGCCTTGAAAAAAGTTTAGTGTGCAGACAACATAACATTTTGTGCAGATAGGACTCATATCAGTTTGTTCACAAAAAAATGTGTAGTTATAATTTCTGTTGTGCAGGCAACAAGGTCACCAGGTCCAGGCTGTAATACCCATGCGAAAATAAGCCTCACTTTTTAAATCCAGACTATCCGAAGGTCCAATTGCACTGAATATCATGATATCTCAATGTAACACCAGCATATTAACGATAAGTTAACCTCCTATATTACAGTGTAACCGTTACCCCACTAACAGTGTAGCTCTACTCACTTCACAGTTCTACTGAACTGTACGTGCAGGTGTAATATTATATACCAGGTTTAGTGTCCGTTACCAGGCTAGGTTACCAGGTTGGTTACCAGGGAAACACTGCTGTTTCTGGGGAGGCGGGCAGGTGTAATGTAATATTATATACCAGGTTTAGTGTCCGTTACCAGGTTACCAGGTCGGTTACCAGGGAAACACTGCTGTATCTAGGGAGGCGGGCAGGTGTATCTTGTACCAGGGGGATGGTATGTTTATGTAGCAGTTTTATATTCTAATTACGGTGGCAACCATGATCTGATTCACTATTAGCAGGGTCGGGTTACCAGGTTACCTGGTTACCATGGTCAGTTTACCAGGTTACCAGGTTACCATGGTCAGTTTACCAGGTTACCAGGTTACCATGGTCAGTTTACCAGGTTACCAGGTTACCATGGTCAGTTTACCAGGTTACCATGGTCAGTTTACCAGGTTACCTGGTTACCATGGTCAGTTTACCAGGTTACCTGGTTACCATGGTCAGTTAACCAGGTTACCAGGTTACCATGGTCAGTTTACCAGGTTACCAGGTTACCATGGTCAGTTTACCAGGTTACCATGGTCAGGTAAGCAGGGTCAGGTTAGGTGTAACTAGGGTCGGGTTGTATAGGCTGGATCAAGAACCTCACACATCACTGCAGTATCCGGCATACTTATGTGTGATGTTATGTGATGTCATATTGTGATGTGATGTGATGTGATGTGATGTGATGTGATGTGATGTGATGTGATGTGATGTTATGTTATGTTATGTTATGTTATGTTATGTTATGTTATGTTATGTTATGTTATGTTATGTTATGTTATGTTATGTGATGTTATGTGATGTTATGTGATTTTATGTGATTTTATGTGATGTTATGTGATGTTATGTTATGTTGTGTTATGTGATGTTATGTAATGGTTTATGTAATGGTTTATGTAATGGTTTATGTAATAATGCAAGTGATGAAGCAGCCTAGACAAGTTTTTGTTGATATGTTACATTGTCAAATCCTAACCCATCAGGACGTAGTAAGGGGGAGGTCTGGGCCAATTGAATACCAATATATACAGGGTTGCCGGCATTTTTGAGAGTCATTTTTAAGGTTTTTTCACGTCTTTTAAGGCCCCTTTTGACCCATTTTTAAGGTCCAAAACAGTTAAATTTAAGGTTTTTTAAGGTTTCCGCTACAGAAATTGCAATCATATGACATATCTAAAGGGGGAAGGTATAATTTCAGAAAACCCCAATTAGATCTACACCGACCTAGGTATAATTTCAGAAAAACCCAATTAGATCTACAACAAGCTAGGTATAATTTCAGAAAAACCCAATTAGATCTACAACAAGCTAGGTATAATTTCAGAAAAACCCAATTAGATCTACAACAAGCTAGGTATAATTTCAGAAAAGCCCAATTAGATCTACAACAAGCTAGGTATAATTTCAGAAAAACCCAATAGATCTACAACAAGCTAGGTATAATTTCAGAAAAACCCAATTAGATCTACAACAAGCTAGGTATAATTTCAGAAAAACCCAATTAGATCTACAACAAGCTAGGTATAATTTCAGAAAAACCCAATTAGATCTACAACAAGCTAGGTATAATTTCAGAAAACCCCAATTAGATCTACAACAAGCTAGGTATAATTTCAGAAAACCCCAATTAGATCTACAACAAGCTAGGTATAATTTCAGAAAAACCCAATAGATCAACAACAAGCTAGGTATAATTTCAGAAAAACCCAATTAGATCTACAACAAGCTAGGTATAATTTCAGAAAAACCCAATTAGATCTACAACAAGCTAGGTATAATTTCAGAAAACCCCAATTAGATCTACAACAAGCTAGGTATAATTTCAGAAAAACCCAATAGATCTACAACAAGCTAGGTATAATTTCAGAAAAACCCAATTAGATCTACACCGAGCTAGGTATAATTTCAGAAAAACCCAATTAGATCTACACCGAGCTAGGTATAATTTCAGAAAATCTTATCAGGTCTACACCGAGCTAGGTATAATTTCAGAAAATCTTATCATATCTACATCAAGCTAGGTATAATTCAGAAAATTTTACTAATCCGGAAAATCCATTTAGATCTACATCAAGCTAGGTATAATTTAGGTATGGAACCTTAAAAAACCTTAAAAACCCGAAAATTTGCCCGTTTTTCACGTCTTTTTTAAGGTTTTTTGCCCAAAATTGCCGTTTTTAAGGTTTTTAAGGTTTTTTAAGGTTTTTAAGGTCCCCCGGCAACCCTGAATATATAGCGCCTTTACCTATGATTATTGATTAGTTGGTTTTTGTCACATGACATGAATACATCTTCCTCATTGGTTAGTAGTACTCTTACCTGTCTGAACTTCTGCCGGGCCTCCTTTTCCTTCATCCTGCCGTGAGCTACAAGATAGTCAAACACCTCACCTCCACTCGCATACTCCATTACTAAATACAACGTCTTCTCTGTTTCTATCACCTGAGGAGACGGTAGTAAAGTGAGGTGAAATGAGGTAAAATGAGGTAAAATGAGGGTCACAAGAACATTATTAAGTACAAAATTTGGGGATATTGATGGGAATGAATATCTTGTCCACAAATTAAACTTTTGAGACTCAAAGATCGAATAAAATTAACTGTATCTAAATTTTTTAAATAGCAAATATTTAAATAGTAAACATTTAAATGGTATGTCGTTTGCCTCAAACCTCATAAAGGCGGACTATGTTAGGATGATTGAGTCTCTTCATAATTTTCATCTCTCGGTTGAGTTTCTGAATACTAGTCTGATTCATTTGGGTTTTATCAATCACTTTTACTGCCACCTGAAAAGAGAAAATAAAGGCTTGTTTATAAGGTAAGAAGAACCTGTTTCGTGTGTTTTTGAAGTTTTGTAGACTTTCGAAAATCTATACAATTAGAAAAACTAATTTAATGGACAGTTTGATGAAAATTATGATTGACAATTAAGTCAAGTTCGACAATGTTATGGTGCAGTCACGTGACAGTATAATAACGTCACGTGACATTAATTCGTCGAAACTCACCTCTCTTCCTGTTGGTAGATGTCTAGCCAGCTTGACCTTAGCAAAGTTCCCCTTGCCAATGGTCTTGAGCAGCTTGTACTTTCCGACATGCTGGGAGTCCTCAGCACCGCTGGACCGGCTGCTGTGAGGTTTACCTGACTCCCTCTTGTGGGCACTCTGCGGAGTGAGGGGTAATTAGTGGGGTAATTGATATGTAATTAGTGGGGTAACTAGTGGGGTAATTGATAGGTAATTAGTGGGGTTTTTGATAGGTAATTAGTGGGGTAGTTGGTGCAATTGGGTAATAAGTTGGGTAACTGATAAGTAATTAGTGGGGTAGTTGGTGGGGTAATAAGTTGGGTAACTGATAGGTAATTAGTTGGGTAATTGGTGGGAATTTCAGGCATTTTTCAGAGCATTGTTTGTTCGAGGCTGGGGTTAAGTAGTTTTGAGAAAAAGCACATATTTGTGTAAGACTACTGTCCCTCAATTCTTCCAGTCTCCTTTGTTCTGTTAACAATAATAGAGGTTGCCAATAAATCTGCAGTTTATTCAATATTACTCAGAGTAGTACGCCACCGAGTATCTCAAAGAAACGGGACAACAAGGGGGGTTATGCCATTGCCCCCCCCCCCCATCAAAACCATTATATTTTGAGCGCCGTTGAATTCCTTGAAATTCTAGCGCTGAACTGAGGGTAGCTAAGCTTTAAGACCCGTAATTCTGTGAACAAATCATCTCTTGGTGGGAAATGTCGAGACAGTATACACTATATTATATTGCTATAATGTGAGCGTGAATCTAAATCCCCTAATATGGAGTGTAGGCTTACTTTGATGTTATATCCTTGTTCAGTGGTTGGCGATCTTGAATACCGTGTACAATACATGGTGATATTGTACGCAAATAAAACATTTACCTCAATATCACACTATCAAAACAATAACATACTCTAATTGATTCAAATGTAGTATTCACTAATCGACTCAAGTATAGCATTCCTACTGTGTACACTGTACTTATCCTACTGTGTACACTGTACTGTATCCTACTGTGTACACTGTACATTGTAAACATATCAATTATATCAATGTTATCTTATCAAGGAGTTAACAACTCTAATATGGTATGTGCTACAAAGTGGTACACACTACACAGTACTTGTATACATTGCATTGTGACCAGTATAGTTACTCTTCCAGAATACTAAAGACCCTTCCGTGTTTGTCGGGATAAAAACAGTTGCTTTTAAATTTAATACTCAAGTTTGTACATAAACAATCTAGTTATTTTTATTTTTAATGTGTTTTGAGTTTAGTTTTATACATCTTACACTCCATATTAGGGGATTTAAAAGCTTAACAATATTTTTAAGCTACGCAATTTTTGAACAGATCAAGAGACACTGAGTTCAAGTGTAATATACACTATTTGATAATGTACTAGAAATAAAGTCAGAACATGGGCTTTCTACTGTATTGTCACTCATTTTGTAATCAAGGTGAATATTTTTAGGTATCATTATTAAACTTAATCTCTAGTACCTCATATATATATAGTAAGACGAATAATCGACACCCTTCCCCGCATGCGCTTGATTGGATAAAACAACAGGTCCGACATTTTCCAGTTTATACATGAGAATTCTAGATTTTTCCATCATATTCTAGTTCTAAATCCCACTTTAAAACTAATTATTATTTAAAATGCTTGAACCGGATATTCCAGAATCACGTACGAAAGTTCGAGGGAATCAAGTTTAATAATTGTTCCTTTAAGTGTTGCCACTAGTTACTAAAACACGCACATTTCCGTGTAAACGTACAACATTCTAATATTTTTAATACTTTCAACACTACTATATAACAAATAATTTGAGTAAATGGCATTCAACATGGCCGCTGGATTACTGATGACGACTGCTTAAAGACAGACGAAACTATAGTAGAAAAGGCTGCGAAGAGTGTGACGAATTGGAATTTATTTATTGTTTTTCTCTGAATCTGGTGTAATATCATTGCTTCATTGGCTTTATTGAAATGATGAATGGCCCAAACAACATTCTAATATTAAATTTCATTTGTTTACTAGTAATCCGGACACAATGACAAGGATTTAGCATATAAATTCAGCAATAATATTAACTAGTTTACAATATTATGGTATTTCCTGAATCTTCACTCAGTATTCCTGACCATATAAATTATAAAACCACCATGATTTCATATCTGTGATGCCATCACGGTACTATTATATATATCACATATTATAATGTTCGAGAATTGAGAGATTATGATTGCCAGTCCAGAGAATATGATTGCCAGTCGAGAATTGAGCGAGAGAATATGATTGATTTTACGGCGGCAAGGTCAGTCAGCTTGATATGATTACATTAAAAACTGCTCTCGCTGGCTCTGATTTGCTGACGTATGTATGGCTGGGATTAAATTTCTGAGAATTTTGAGCAGTAAAAGTTAAGACTACGAGGGAATTCATGACGTCGGGGTCAGGTTAAGTTGTGTAATGTATTTACCGGTTTAACGGTAAATGAAGTGAAAACAGTTAGTGGTGAGAAAATAGTTAGTGGTGAGAAAAAGGTTAGTGGTGAGAAAAAGGTTAGTGGTGAAAAAACAGTTAGTGGTGAGAAAATAGTTAGTGGTGAGAAAAAGGTTAGTGGTGAGAAAAAAGTTAGTGTAATTCTCTGGGGCAGTTTTCTATTTAAACTTGTAATGCTAAAATTCAGAAATTCACTAGATCCTACAGTATTTAGTTTTTATGAAGTATCCTTTTCAAGTATTTTTTTTCTGTTTCACGTCCAGGCTCAATTTAACCTTCTCTTCAGTACTTGTTACAATATCATGTTACAACAATCCCGTGACAACAATAAAAATACAGACAGCTCATTGGTAGTAATACAATAATACATTATCAATACATTGTCACGTTGTATCTGTTACGTTATCTGCTTTAAGAGTAACATGAGACTATTAAATATCTACAGGGAACTTATATTCAAGTACAAGTGCTGAACCCCCCCCCCCCCCCCCCCCCCCGGCCCCCTGAATATATCTTTATTGTGAGCATAATGTTACATTGTATGGATCTTGATACTGTTGAAGTAGGCGGGGGGAAGCCAAGGGTATTTTGTGGTATTATGTGGGACTCTATTATAGGGGGGGCCGGGGGGTGTCATGTCCGTCTATGTCCGCCTATGTCCTGTCCTTTTTGGATTCTATGAGACAACGGACGTGTTTTTTGGGACATTGGCGGACACGGACGGACATTGGCGGACTCGGACGGACATTGGCGGACTCGGACGGACATTGGCGGACCCAGACGGACATTGGCGGACTTGGATGGACATTGGTGGACATTAGCGGACATTGGTGGACATTAGCGGACAAACTTTTTGAGGACTGAAGAGTACTGAAGAGTACTGAAGAGTACTGAGGAGGATGGCTGAGAAGGATGGCTGAGGAGGATGGCTGAGGAGGATGGCTGAGGAGGATGACTGAGGAGGATGACTGAGAGGGAGGAGAAGGACCAGGAAGACCCAGGAGGAGGAGGAGGAGGAGGACCCAGAAGGAGGACCTAGGAGGAGGAGGAGGAGAACTGAGGAGGAGGACTCAGGAGGAGGACTGAAGAGGACTGAAAAGGAGGAGGACTGAGGAGGATGGCTGAGGAGGATGACTGAGAGGGAGGAGGAGGAGGAAGAGGAGGAAGAGGACTGAGGAGGAGGAGAAGGACTGAGGAGGAGAAGGAGGACCCAGGAAGCCAGGAGGAGGAGGACCAAGGAGGAGGAGGACCCAGGAGGAGGACCCAGGAAATGGCCCCAGGAGGAGGAGGAGGACTGGGGAGGAAGAGAACTGTTGAGGACTGATGAGGAGGACTGAGGACGAGGAGGAAGAGTAGGAGGAGGACTGAGGAGGGGAGGAGGAAGAGGACTGGGGAGGATCAGGAAGACCCAGGAGGACCCAGGAGGAGGAGGAGGAGGAGGACCCAGGATCAGGATACCGAACGGACAAAAAACATGATCCCCCTATAACAGTAAAAATTGAACATTTTATTTAGCAATGTAGGTGTCCATTAATGTCCGCCTTTGTCCGCCTATGTCCGCCTATGTCCGTCTTTGTCCGCCTATGTCCGCCTATGTCCGCCTATGTCCTGTCCTTTTTGGATTCTATGAGAGGCCCCAGGAGGAGGAGGAGGACTGGGGAGGAAGAGAACTGTTGAGGACTGATGAGGAGGACTGAGGACGAGGAGGAAGAGTAGGAGGAGGACTGAGGAGGGGAGAGGAAGAGGACTGGGGAGGATCAGGAAGACCCAGGAGGACCCAGGAGGAGGAGGAGGAGGAGGACCCAGGATCAGGATACCGAACGGACAAAAAACATGATCCCCTATAACAGCAAAAATTGAACATTTTATTTAGCAATGTAGTTGTCCATTAATGTCCGCCTTTGTCCGCCTATGTCCGCCTTAGATGTCCGTCTATGTCCGCCTATGTCCGCCTATGTCCGCCTATGTCCTGTCCTTTTTGGATTCTATGAGAGGCCCCAGGAGGAGGAGGAGGACTGGGGAGGAAGAGAACTGATGAGGAGGACTGAGGACGAGGAGGAAGAGTAGGAGGAGGACTGAGGAGGGGAGGAGGAAGAGGACTGGGGAGGATCAGGAAGACCCAGGAGGACCCAGGAGGAGGAGGAGGAGGAGGACCCAGGATCAGGAGGAGGAGGAGGACTGAGGAGGACTGAGGAGGAGGACTGACGATGACTGAGAAGGAGTAGGACTGAGGAGTACTGAGGAGGATGGCTGAGGAGGACGGCTGGGGAGGATGGCTGAGGAGGATGACTGAGGAGGATGACTGAGAGGGAGGAGGAGGAGGACTCAGGAGGAGGACTCAGAAGGAAGAGGAGGAGGACGCAGGAGGAGGACTCAGGAGGAGGACTTAGGAGAAATGAGAAGGAGGACTGAGGAGAACTGAGGAGGAGGAGGAGGACTGAATAGGAGGAGGAGAAGGAGGGGGACTGGGAGAGGACTGAGGAGGAGGAGGACTGATGAAAAGGATGAGGAGGAGGACCCAGGAGGACGAGGACTGAGGACCGAGGAGGAAGAGGAGGAGGATGTAGAGGAGGAGGAGGACCCAGGAGGAGGAGGACTGAGGAGGAGGACTGAGGAGGATGGCTGAGGAGGATGACGGAGAGGGAAGAGGAGGAGGAGGAGGATGGCTGAGGAGGATGACGGAGAGGGAAGAGGAGGAGGAGGAGGAGGACTGAGGAGGACTGAGAAGGAGGAGGAGGAGGAGGACTGAATAGGAGGAGGAGGAGGGGGACTGGGAGAGGACTGAGGAGGAGGATGGAGGACTGAGGAGAAGGATGAGGAGGAGGACTGAGGACTGAGGAGGAAGAGGAGGAGGATGAAGAGGAGGAGGAGGACCCAGGAGGAGGACCCAGGAGGAGGACTCAGGAGGAGGAGGAGGACTGGGGAGGAGGAGGACTGTTGAGGACTGATGAGGAGGACTGAGGACGAGTAGGAGGAGGACTGAGGAGGGGAGGAGGAAGAGGACTGAGGAAGATCAGGAAGACCCAGGGGGAGGAGGAGGAAGAGTAGGAGGAGGAAGCATCTAAATGTTATTTCCATTTTTGTCCGTTTTTGTCCATTTTTGTCCGTTTTTGTCCGCTCTATTTTTTGTCCGTTTTGAAAATATAGGGTACCGAACGGACAAAAAACATGATCCCCCTATAACAGCAAAAATTGAACATTTTATTTAGCAATGTAGGTGTCCATTAATGTCCGCCTTTGTCCGCCTATGTCCGTCTATGTCCGCCTATGTCCGCATATGTCCGCCTATGTCCGTCTATGTCCGCCTATGTCCGCCTATGTCCTGTCCTTTTTGGATTCTATGAGACAAGCGGACATAGACGGACGTGACACCCCCCCCCCCCCCCCCCCCCCCCCCCCCCCATTATACCACATAAAATCCATTAAGGCATTCCCCAAAATTCCCCTTGGCTTCCCCCCAATACAAAAGAATTTAATAGCTAAAAGTCATTAGGAGAGCAACAGTTAAGAAATTTAGCTGTGGAGTCTAAAAATCGGTTGTTTAGGTCTTATTTATAATCTAGAGATACCACAATTTTAATTAAAACATTTAATGAACTATGGAGTATGGGTGAACTATGGACTGAAGCTGGTTTGTGTTAACATGAACTGTCGACCACCATGAATATTTAAAATAATTTTGGGTTATTTTGTGATATTTTGTGGTATTATGTGGGACTCTATTATGATTTATGTGGGATTTCCAAAGTCCATTAAGGCATTTTACAAAATACCACAAAATACCCCTTGGCTTCCCCCCAGTGCAGTAGGTGGACTATGTTTGTTATGACACGTGATAGCGACTGGGCTGGCCAATCAGCTTCCAGTACTGACCAATTAAAACTGAGAACCACTGTCACGTGTCAAAACAAATACGGTTAACCCAAACAAATACAGTCCCTACCAGTATCTACATTCTACAGTAAGTGTGAAGTACAGCGTAAACAGGGCCTATATGCCCCCGCCCCCCCCCCCCCCCCCCCCCCCCCCCCTATATCAACTAAACAGCCTCAAAGTAATTCTATAAACACGTGTCAGTAAATACCTCCACACATCCAGAAGTCTACAAGCACTGTGCTACTGTGATTAACAGAAAGTTTTAACAAACCTTACTTTACAGAGGGGCGGGGAAGATACTTATTAGTAGTAGATTGGCTGACACATGTGGGGACAATATAACAGTTACAAAGTCACGTGATTCTAAATGAATGCAAGGAATGTGGAGATTAGTTAAACAACCACCAAGTGGAAATTCTTTGCAAGAAAATAATTAATTAATTGTCCAATTGTTCTCGAAGGACGTCGTAGCTACAGGAAAATGGATACATTGTGGAATGCAGGTATAATGACAGTCCCTCATTAGTTTCCTTAAACGAGGAAATTAAAAGATCCAATACATATTACAATACATTTCTACTGTCTACATAGTACATCTCCTATAAAGTATAATGTGATGTATACAGCTCTGTATACTCACAGTACATTATTGTGTACAGGAAAAGCTGCAAACAAGTTGTTCTGTTGTCATGACATCACGTGATGTTATCAAAGTGTCACGTGGGACAAATTAGCCAATCACCGGCCGGTTTGTATTCTACCTAAACATTTGTACAAGACAAACTCGTGGCGGCGTGTAGAACCAAATACACAGTGTGGGCTAAAATTTGGTAATATATTAAAACTGTTGTGATGTATGGGTCTAACTTAAATTTGCAAGTTCTCCAGTGTGGGCCCGTTAACTATAGATCTCTTAATTTTAAATAGTAAAAATAATAACGTACACGTGCACACCTGGCTGACTGTATGCAGGTGAACGAATGTGGCAAGGCTCATTTACCGAACGTAGGAAATACGTTTTATCTAAAATTCCCTAATTTATTTAACGATCATCACTATAAAATATATTAAGATAACATAACATAATAACTTACTCTGCCTGAGGACACAGATGATTTTCCTTTTGACTGAAAAGTTAATTTTGTTAAACAAGGTGAAATTAATCAAATCAAAAAAATATGAGATATTGGAGGCCACGACTTAATAGATGGTAGTCAGGTTGCACAGATAATTATTACACCTGTGCCTGTCAGACTAAAACAAACAACATGTCATCTTTGGAAAACGACTACCAACCATTTAGATCCAGCCAATAGCATTAAACACCATTGAACATTCATTGATTTTTTAGATTAGAATTCAGCCTTTGATTTTAGAGGTCATTAAAATTCAAACGTTATATTATGTATCATAATGTGAATAAAATAGAATAAGAATAAAAAAGAACAAAAAGGCTCCACTTACGATGGACTCTGGCCGAGCAAAGTTGTGATGTTGGGAGTTAGACATTATTAGCTTCACTCCATATACACCATCATAGAATCCAAGCCTTTGTGTCTAGTTAACACATGCCTACCATGTAGTTTTTGTTAATAAAGCAAATAAAAGCAGTTATTTTATCAGTAAATATGTCAATACCAGATTTTAAAGAAAATTGAATAAATAATGAAAATATTTATAAAAAGCTTTTTTTTAAAGTTTTGTAACGATACAAAATTAGGATTGTCACGATACAGAATTAGGATTGTTTTGATTGAAATAAATTTTCGTGCACATACAGAATGAATGGTTAATAATTTAATATATATGTAGACCAAGCTCTGTGCACGGGATTCTTCCTGGAAGAATCCAGTTCTTTTAGCGGGGCACCCTACCTAAAGCCAAATTGAGATATAATAATCATATTCCTAGGGAAATAATCAGAAATCGAATACCAATCAAATAATATGATATTATATAGGAGTATAAGTAGTAACCATATTTACTATGCAAAATGCCCCAACCATAGTGTAAATTTATATAGAATTCAAATTCCATATCATCATTAAACCTCAATAGTCAATATATAATAGCCCAAGCAAAATTAAATAACTTCTTATATACCTTACTGTGGATTGTGGAATTTATTGTATAACCTACAAGGAGTGGAGGGAGCGGTGTGGTGCATTAATTCGAATTACATTTGTCCTGAAAATTGGCTCACCTAATCACGTTGTAAGGTGAACCCATTAAGGCCGCCAAATTAAGGCCAGGAGTCAAAAAAATCGTCCAAAATTTTTGATGACAAAAACATTGCTGCTACTCACATATTTGTAGCTGCTTAACTTTTTCTTATAATTGAGGTTAACCGATTTTCACAAAATTGACTATACAACAATGAGGTTAATAAAATTGAGGTTAATATTTCAGGAAGTGACCGGGATTCCCGGTCACTTCAAGTCACATTTTGTATCCCGGTCCCGGTCCCGGTCAGGCCTGAAATCATGTCCCGGTCACTTCCTGTAATATTTTATTACACTACATAATTTTTTGTTATTTCGGTCAGCAAATTAAAATCTAATATTTAGGTTCATAGTTGTCAGAAAAAGTTATTTCCAAACGTGATTAAATGAGGTTAACCTCTTTTTTTAGATATAGCGAGAATAGATCAAATGATAGAGTTATTATTTTCATCGTAAGTTTACGGTATACACATTTCAAAATAGATGGCATGTTGATTGACTTTCTTTTATCTTGGGAAAGTGGAAAAAATGAGGTTAACCATCACATTTTGGTATTGTAAGAATATACATAACATTCTTATATATACATACATTCTTACTTTTGTAATGTACCACAATATTGCAGTGAGGTATCTATTGGTATCACAATGCCTAAACTATTATCACGTGACAAAGGTGATTTGAACTGACCATATTTAAGTAGAAGATTTTTAAAAATGAGGTTAACCTCTCATTTTTTCCCGATCCATGACTCAAAGTGCCGAAGGCACAAAAGAGTCAAGGACAAGGGTTAGCGATAGAGGTTTTTTTTTATATGGTAGCTTTGCGACCGTGTGTGCGCGCGAGTGTGCGACCGAACGTGCCTGCGAGCACTGTTATCGCCCACGTGACTACCTGCGCAAAGTTATTTTGCGTGACAATCTGAATTATATAATTGTTGGCGCGCGGCGCTGAACCAACCAAGTACATTATTAATTTCATCATGTACGTATCCCACTAGGCACTAATTAATAGCATATTATTATTATTTTGAGTTGGTATTACTATTTTGCACAGATCCGTGTCAGGTTGCATAAACAATAAACATATGGTTACATAGAAGTATACACGATTTTCAAATTCAATATAGAATTATATTAACTGGGCGGCGCTCGGCAGTCGGCATGTCGCTTCGCCATATTTGCATGTTTATATAAACAGTAAAGACTGGGCCGTCCCCAGGTTGTATGGAATATGATAAATACGCCATCACGGATCGGGAAATTGAGCGGCCATCCACAAAAGAAAAGCGGCCGCATTTCTTGTTTGAATACCTGACCAGTCAACTACATGTTAACCTCAAAAACTTAATCGTTACACTGTGCAAATGTTTTGCGCATCTTCTTCCAGTTGATGAGTTACCAAAGGGAACAGTCCTAGGAGACGAAGCTAGGCTGGACATTTCTGCAAGATCGATTTTTTTTATTCCATGCCCCAGCCCCCTCCAATGCAAGCAAATCGATCCCAGCAATGTACCAGTCCCATGAAAATGAGAAGAAAAGGTGTTACAATGCAAGGGTTCTGGAAGTAGAGAAAGGAAGCTTCACGCCGTTCGTTTTCTCAACATCTGGTGGAATGGGTGGTGAAGCTGAAAGACTAGTAAAGAAGTTTGCTAGCAAGATGGAATACCACGCAGGAAAAAGGTATTCAGATGCTGTTGGATACATAATGAAGCGCCTTCGTTTCGAAATCCTAAGAACAACAGTGATTTCTCTACGGGGGGACAGAGGTGTGAGAAAGAACTTTGTTGATATAAATAGTTAAGATTTGAATTTGGAACCACAAGGCCAAGGTTAATATTCCAATGCTTCTCCCAATATTTGAGATAGGGAACATGTTGATTTTTTGAAGGGCTGTTTTTATATAGGGTCATTGTGACAATCATGTGTATCTTGTTTGAATAATTTTTAATAGGAAAAAAAACATATGTTTTGCGATTAAAGCCCCAAAACGGTGTCAGGTTTGTAACTGATAATTATAATCCATGCTCCTGTGAGTTTGCTCCTGTATCTCAACTCGCTAAACTGAGGCATCTCCGCATTTACTAGGTTGCCGTTTGGTGTGAGCAATAGCGAACAGCACGCACACTCCTTTGCCCCGTAAACTTGTATCCAATCTATTTAAAGAGTGACAACCATACTACACATTGAATTAGGATTCCTTTAAATATCAAATTGATTTATTGTAAACTTGTTTACTCTGTAATAAATGGCATAAAATTGAATTTTTGTTTAACTGAATTTTTGTTTAACTGATCTTGGGTGAATATGCGTATGCACCTTGGGCGAAAATGCTCATATCGTCTTCATACAAAACCCAGCTGTAACATATGTCGGTGAATACGGGTGGGCGGATGAAATAGTGAAGGTTGCGTGATAATGCCTAAAAGACACAGTTCCTGACTGTAAGGGAGAAGGTATATTCGTATTTCGCTGCTACTGCATACTGAAGCAGTCCTTGGTCTGGCAATCATGGCTTCTCTGTTTTTCGTCTAACTATGTGCCATTGGGCTTGTGGAACCCTTGTGGGCGACATACATAGGTTTGTATGGATTTGTGCACCACAAGAAGTGAGGGGAGGACGGTTCAAGAAAAAAAGTAAAGTAAAGTAAAGTAAAATGTATGACATCACATCATCACACATGTTTACAAAATATCATCGCACTATGTAGATAAATATATAATAAATATTTCCCCACCAAGATTAATTATTTATCTAATACAATATTTTTTTTTAATTCATCAAAACAAAGAAGGGCAAAGAATGGCTTCTCAAATGTTGCAGATGCTCTCAACATTGGCACGCCTCCTGCAGCAACCTGAAGGGATCAAACCAGATTGGTCAGATTGATCTTGATGCCATCCTTCAGTACTGGGAATGTCCATGGTGCTTCACGTCATTTCATCCCAAACCAAACAGCAGCACCGCGTCTAAATTTGATAAAGCTCTCCAGTCTAGTGTTGACTACAGTAAAAACATCCAAGCTGTATCTGATGCCATCTCGAGTGCTGTATCTAACAGCATACCCACTGTGGAGATATCTTCATTGGAGGCCAGACTTTCACAACTGAGTGAAGAGATCCACTCCTTCCAAAAATCAAGGAATCATCTCGCCTCTACCCATGATGCAGCAGTGAAACGAGAGAGTAAGCCGTCAGTAGCTCTCCCTAAATGTGTACAGCCACCGATAAAGGACTACCAAGTAGACATCTTGGACAAAGATCTGCTTGATGAGGTATCCAGATTTCTCACTGAGAGCAAAGATTCTGGTAAGTTTAGCCAGATGAATGGAAGGGCAGTCCTCAAATACGGCGAAAGCTACAACTATTCTGGAGACTCAAATGCCCCGTCATCAGCAGCCATTCCATCAGTTTTAACAGCTGCCATTGATAGAGTCACGTCTCAGTGCAAACTCACGCACAGGCCTAACTCTGTGCTCATAAACTACTTCCCTCCAAGCAGCGGTGCAGAGGAAAGTATGTTGCCCTTTCACTGTGATGACGAGCCAGAGATCCTCGCTGACTCTGACATAGCCACAATTTCCATAGGAGAGGTCAGAAAAATAAGTTTCATGCCCATCCACGAAGGACAAACACCCACAAAAAACACTGAAATGTCCCTGGAATCAAACTCAGTTTACATCATGACACGTTCCTCACAGGCATGGTTCAAACATGGTATTAAAGCTACCCAACAGACCAAGGTAACCCCGTCCATAGGACGTTACTCAATTACCCTTAGAACAGTTGACAAAAAATTTCGAAGAAGCACCATCATACTTGGAGATTCCAACACCAAAACTATCAAGTTTGGGAGCGGTGTTGGTACTATGGGTCAGTCTTTCCCTGGCGAAAGAGTTAAGGCGGGTAAAGTTGGTTTGATTGACCCATGTCACTGTATCGGATACAGCAATGCTGTTATTGTGTGTGGTACAAATGACCTTCGAGTAGACAACCTTAGAGGAGAGAATGCAATCTATCAGCTGGTTGACATTCTCCGCATGAAGATTGAACAGATAAAAAAGCTCTCCCCTAAAATCAAACTCTTTGTCACCGCAGTCCTCCCAACCAGACTGCCCCAAATGAACAAGAACATCATGATCTTCAACCGACTAGTCGATGAATTGTTGAGTGCCAACTTTAACCAGACTGTATGGCACATTGGAGTTGGCCACTTTCTGGACAGTAGTGGACTCCTTGCCACTAATCTGACCAGAAGTGGTGATGATATACATTTAGGTATTTATGGTATTGCAAAATTTGTGAGATGTGTGAAGCACTGGGTGTATGTGAGAGCGAGGCAAGAGTGGACA